TTCTGAATCTAAGTCTTTGTGATTGTTTCAATGAAGTGCAGGAAAGAAGGAAGCAAGTGAGAATACAGGTTAAAATTCATTCATAGATGTGTCGTTCAGGAAATATTCATTAGCGCCTTCTATTGGTCAGGTGCTCCGCTGGGCAAGACCAATGAGCAGGACCAGTGGTCCCTGCTTTCAGACTGCAGTGTACAGTGTACAGTTTACCCAAGATACAGTTCAAGGACACAAATCCCAGTCTGAGGCCTTTTCATGCCTCCCTCCTCTTCCAGAAAACCAAAGAAATTCTTGGACTGCTTCACCCCACCCACATTGGGCCTCTGATGGCTTCTTGTCCACACAAAGCCCTTTACTGCCTGGTGCTTGTGGTGCCTCCACAGGAAAGGTGATTTTAGTGGCTGGTTCTTTCCCATCTCTCAGGTATCAGCTTAAGTCAGTTCCTCAGAGAGGCCATCCTTTGCCCCCTGTAATTTCCTTTCAAAACACCTTGTTTACTTCCTCCACGGCACTCAGCACCACTGCAATTATTTTGTCTATTTGCTTATTGCCTACGTACTCAAAGAGACCGTCTCTATCTTCATCACTATTATATCTGTAGTGCCTATCACATGACCATACATAGGTAGGAACTCAGTAAAGGCTGGCTGAATTACAAACCAGTGTTGATTACACCTTCCACATAAACCTCCTCTGGGGCAACATCACAAACATCCCCAGCTGGAACAGCCAGCCTTTCACCCACAAGGCCATTTCACAGCCACTTATTTCACCTCCGCTTCAGCTTCACATCTGAGCTTTCAGAAACCACATCCTCAAAGGACACAAAAGCACCCATTTTCTCATCCCAGGGCAGTGTGAATTCAGAAGAAAGCACAGAGGTGGAAAGAGGGAGGCAGTTTAAAAACCAGAAGTGCAATTAAATGAAGAAGCAAAATGTCAAAAATAAATGGAAATTATCACTCTTCATAATGTACCCTTTGCTTAATGGATGACAAATTGTAGCAGTAATTCTCAACATTTAATGGTAAACTATCCCAAGATGGGAATCTGACGTGAAACAGTCATGGAAAGAAGATGTCCCTTTTGTTTCCAATTTTGTCACAAGTATTGTCACAGTGATGTGATTAAAATAAAACTTTGTGGATGAAGTAGCCCTTTTAAACAAGGAAGGAAAGAAACCTAAGACTCATAGCACTCATACTCCAGCTGCATCCTGGGAATCATGGTGCAGATCACCAGTGTATAAATTTTTTCTTGTGAGACCATTAGCTTAGAGATACTATGAGCAGTTACAAAATGGAGGCCCATCCAGGGAACAACAATTAGGACACAGTACATTTGAGATCAGCCGGTACTGTATATTCATGGCCTCTCCTCCACAGATCACGTCCAGCTGTAAAGAATATTGTATTCTCCACATGTCATTCCTTCTTGCCCCTAGAATGGGCTCTCCAATGGACAAGCAGGGACCCAGAAGACCCGTGTGGTTGGTCTCCTGAACACTGATGGGGGTGGAGCACAGAACTAAGCAGTGAAACAATGTTTAAGGCTGAGGGGGTGGCATGTGGTCCTTTCTTTGGTCAACTTTTTAGGTACTCTTGGGATTGGGCAGCAACCAATCTAAGTCTCCTGATTCTACTCTTTGCTCTCAACACTCTGGAAAATAAAAATTTATAACAACAATGACATTAATACCTATGATTTACTAAGTGCATTATTGTATATTTGTTGGAATTTTCATAGTAACACACCCCAATAGTAAATTTAGGAATTTATCCCTTCCCTATTGTGGGAAATAAGAGAACTGTCATTCAAAACGCCCTGGCCTAGTCAAGCAGCAGTCATGACCTAGGCTAGGCAGATTGGGCTCCATTGCTGAAACAGCAATTCTCAGACAGGAAAGCAAAAGGATTAAAATGTTTGGAGTTGACCAGACTTTCAGCTATCTCCTGATAATGCATCTTGTCCCTCCTAAGCTTAGCTTTTAGTTGATTTCCTGATTTTGTGAGCTACCCCATAACCTTCTAATGAAATCCTATGTTTGCTTGTGTATTAATTTCCTAGGGCTGACATAACAAAATACCACAAACTGGACATCTTAAAACAATAGAAAGTATTCTCTCATTGGAGAATTCTGGAGGCTAGAAGTCTGAAATTGGCGTGTTGGCAGGCTTCGTCCTTCTGGAAGCTCTGGGGGAAAGTCTGTTCCATGCCTCTCTCCAAATTTTTGGTGGTTGCTGGCAATCCTTGGCATTCCATGGCTTATAGATGCATTATTCTAATTTGTGCCTGTCTTCACATGGCCATCTTTTCTGTGTGTGCGTCCAAATTTCCCTCTTCTTACAAGAACACCAGCCACTGGCTTAGGGCCCACCCTAATCCACTATAACCTCTTTGTAACTTGACAACAATGCAAAGAACCTATTTCCAAATAAGGTCACATTCAGAGGCTCCAGGTGGACATGAATTTTGAGGGGACACTATTTAACCCAATATATAGCATGCAACCAAAAAAAACTCTGATCCAGTTATGTTCCAAGCCAGTGTTCTAGAGTGGGTTCTATGCATTATCTGCTTTAATCTTGACAATCTTTAAGGTGGGCGCCTTTATTTACCCCCATTTCAGAGCTGGAAAAATGAAGGCCCTGAGAATTTGTTCAAGGTCAAATGGCCAGTAAGAGGCAGAGTTAAGATTCAAGGCAAGGTCTATATCCAATACAAATGTGCTCTCCTAACCACTACATTATGTTCCAGGCTTTGCTCTACTTGGAAATGCACTGATACCCTCACCCCTCCAACCACGAACTATAAGCTATGAAAGGAAAATGGTCCACTCCCCAAACTGGGGCTAGGTCTCCACATCTCCACGTGGCTATTCTGCCTTCTCTGTACCACAGTACTGGGTGACAACCAAAGTCAGAGAATGTGGACAAGAACCAGGAAGAATCCTGAGTGATTCAGAGAACAGCTGCTATAATTGTCTGGTCAGAAGTACACATGGGTAGCTGTGGCAGGAAGAAATCTGCTGAGCTCTGGGTCAGATGGTCAAAGGGACAGCGATGGAGGGTAGTGTTTGGTGCTGGGCGGTCTCTTCTCTGTGAGGCCCAGGCAAACAGTGAAGGCTCAGGCTTGGATGATCAGAGCACCAAAAATTTTTTTAGAGTTTCTGCCTCAGCCAAGACTCAGCTGAATAAGGACGTGGATCAGGTAGCAGCTCAGAGCTCTCTGGTTGATCCATCTTGTGAGGCTTTAGGATAAATCCAGGTCTTGCCAGACCCTCTAAAGGGTGGGGGAGCCATATTCTTCAAAAATAGTGGATCCAGAGTCTGTTGAACTTAATAGACTGGCCCTCATCCATCAAAAAGGACAGTCCCCCCCCCCCCCCCCCCCCCCCCCCCCCCCCCGGCAAAAAAAAAAAAAGATTCTGTGACCGAGTTACTCCCTAGGGCAAGAACATCAGGTCCTGGAAAAGGATACTGACATGTGGTACCAGAGATGGGTCAAAATGTCCTAAGGTAAAAATAGAATCAATGTGCTTTGAACTTCAAACCCAGTGGAAAATCATGCAGCTAGAGGGCAGTGTTGTTGGTACTTCTTTACATCTAAACCAGTGTCTGAAAAGATTTCAATCAACAAAGGGAGCTATTCAACCTAAATGTCCATCAACAGAAGAATGGATAAAGAAGATGTGGTACATATATACATTGGAATATTACTCAGCCATAATAAAAAGGAACGAAAATTGTGCAATTTGCAGAGACGTGCATAGACCTAGAGACTCAGAGTGAAGTCAGAAAAACAAATATATAACATCACTTATATGTGGAATCTAGAAAAACGATACAGATGAATTTAGTTGCAAAGCAGAAATAGAGACACAGACATAGAGAATGGACTTATGGATAAAAGGCGGGGAGGGGGGAAGGGATGAATTGGGAGACTGGGATTGACATATATACACTATTGATACTATGTATAAAATAGATAACTAGTGAGAACCTACTGTATAGCATGGGGAACTCTACTCAATGCCCTGCAGTGACCTAAACGGAAAGGAAATCCAGAAAAGAGGGGATACATGTACACGTATAGCTGATTCACTTTGCTGTACAGCAGAAACTAACACAACATTGTAAAACAACTATACTCCAATAAAACTTAATTAAAAAAAAACAAAGGGAGCATCTTTTTATGATTGGTCTTATTCAATGATTGGTCTTCCTCACTATTCTGTGAGGCAAGTGCTACACTTCCCTCACAGAAATACTAGAGATAAGCAAAAAGAAAAATTATTCATTAGCGTACCATCTGGAGACACTTGGTGTAAACATTTGTATTTATATCCTTCCAGATATTTTTCTAAATATTCCCCCAAATTAATGTCTAATGTACATGGTTTTACAATCTGATTCTTTAACTTAAAATTGTATCCCAACATTTTTCCATCTCAGGAAGTATTATTCTACAACACGACTTTTCATGGCTGTATAATTCATTGTATTGAAGCCCCCAGTGAACATTTAAGTTGTTCCAGATTGTTGCTACAATAACCAACACTGCAACATTTAATGATGCTGCTAAATCTTTGCACATGATTTATTTCCTTCGACTAAATGCCTAAAACTGTAATTACTGGGTCAAAAACTACATAACACTTGAGGTCCTTTTTATAGGTGTTACTAACCATTCACTGGGAAGCTTGTACCAATTTATACTCCATCAGCTGCAGATAAGGGAGCCCATTTTGTGTGTCTTTACATGCAATGGATTTTGTCATTTAAAAAAACCTTTGAAGTCATCACTTATTTTATAAAAACAGCCACATCCCTAAAAAGCAAGATCATTCCTGCCAAGGAGTGTACTTGAGTCACTAGAATATTAGTCTAGTTAGTCTGAAACCATTTAATTTCTGTCCTTGTGCCTGACGCAGCTTTTCTACCCACTGGTGTCTTAGGAAAGAAAATAGTAAAGGAGAACTTAAAGGAAGAGAAAAAACATACAAATTCTCCTATCTCTGCAGACACTGAAGAGGCCGGTGCTCCAGTCCCCACCAGTCTGGACAATCGTTGTGACTGTGGTCCTGCCACTGGCTCCCCGGACAGGCTGCTTCACCACAGCCTGGGCTGGTGCATGGCTCCTGGAGAGTCAAGGATGGTGATTAACTTGGAAACAAAGAAGATGGTTCAGAAGGATAATCATCAAGCCAAGACACAGTGATAAAGAGCTGGGACCCAGTGATGCCCAGTGGCTCTTATTTCATAGCCCAAGCTGACTTCACCATCTCCCTCCCTCCTCCTCCATCGTACCTTCTCTGATTTTTTGCCCCATTTCTATTAGTGGCATTATTATTCCAAGCTCTGTCCCTCAGACTCAATGTCAAGTCTACTTCCTCAGTGTTTCTCAGTGTTTAATAATAAATTCACAAATTTGGAACCAAGAGTGCTCAGTTCAAGCCCCAGCATGCCGCTTCCTGGAAGCCTGACCTTGGTTAAGTGGCTTAACCTCTGTTTTGTTTGTTCAAATTTAAGATGAAAAAACTACCTCACAGGGTTATTATGTGGACTGAAGGACAGGTAACTTGTTTATTGTGCACACAGCCTGTGTAACAATGTGACCCTGAGTGAGGCTGTATGCAAGGATTTTGAAACTTTGTTGAAAAGACAAAGGAATTGGACTGAATGGTACATCTAAATCTGGACGAGGCTACTGAAGTGGGACAGGTAGTATCATTTAAATGAATAACCCAGACTTCAGAATATATCTTGATATCAAACCACTATATGGTTGTCCTCGTGCAGCCACATAGTACAACTCTGGTTCGATTTTCCCTGAAGGGCATAGATATTCCACTCAGTCATTCTGAAATAGAAATACAGGCCCAGGGGGTGGGCTTCAAAAGTGAGGTGAGAAAAAAACTTCCTTCTCTTTCTGGGGCTGAAAGTTAGATTTGCCTGAATGCCTACCATGGGGATACCTGGAGTGAGTCCTATAGTGAAGGGTAAGCTGTTATGTAGCCTCATGGAAGGGGCATGTCAAGAGTGGGATAGAGGGGCCCGAGAATGAGAATGAGTCTCAGCCTGTACATAGTAGCAGTTATTCTGTTTGGGGCTACCCTTTTAGCAAGCTTCATTAAGAGTTTTGTACCTGGTCTTTGATGTGTTATGAGGAAATAAAGAGCTTGCCTCATACTTGAGAGAAAATAAAAAGACAGCAGTATTTCTTCCTGTAACAGCTGTTGTTACAGTAATAGTCACCAAAGTTCTGCACCTGGGACACCTGGGACACAAAACCTAGAGGCCAGAGTAGAATACTCCTGAGCATCCTTAAGGCAACACCCTGTGGGCATCTTGGAAACAGCTGTGGAGCCCTTTGAGAACCTCTGATTTGGGACATTAAATCCAATGGAATTTCAAGTTATCATAATATGGGGAGCTCTGTTCTTGTTATTAGGATCACATCTCTTTTTCATTCCACCAATACTACCCACACCCTCCCAAACCTGACAGCACATTGGCTTGTTAAAAAAACAAATTCCCAAGCCTCACCCCAGACCACTGTACAGGACTCCAGGGATGAGGTATAGAAATCAGTGTCCCTAATAAAGTTCCAAGGCAATGCCCACGTAGTCATCCTGATAACAGCCTGAAACCTGATACGGGTGGACTTGGAGACCACTGATGATCACTGCAATGGCTTCTGCATCTCCTACCAGGTAGGTGGCGATGTCAATGTAACAGAGATGGCAAGGAAAATAGAATAGGAGGTAAGGCAGAAGGGAAGAGGATGCTGGGAGCACAGCCAAGCTACAGTGCCAGTGAGACATGAGGGGCATCCCAGCCAACAGCTGGGAATGCTGCACAAGAGCTTGGAAGAGCGAGTAGAGTTGGGAGTGACCTATCCAGAAGTGTGAAAGTAGAGCTATGAAACATCCCCACCCTTTTATCCATTTGGCATTATAGACAATATGTAGGGTCTAACAAGCTTTTCAAGAACCTATCAAAGCGTTTGAGACCTGGAAAAAAGTATTGGCTACAAAATATAAAAACTGCAAAGTTGGGGCTTCCCTGGTGGCGCAGTGGTTGAGAGTCCGCCTGCCGATGCAGGGGACACGGGTTCGTGCCCCTGTCTGGGAAAATCCCACATGCCGCAGAGCGGCTGGGCCCGTGAGCCATGGCCGCTGAGCCTGTGCGTCTGGAGCCTGTGCTCCGCAACGGGAGAGGCCACAACAGTGAGAGGCCCACATACCGCCAGAAAAAAAAAAAAAACTGCGAAGTTGAAATTAGTTAATGCTCAATTAAACACAAAAACCTAGCATGATACCTGTCACATGAATGTCCAATTTGGAATTCACACATATTTTATTACATTTGAAAACAAATTACAATTCTCTCATTTTGAAAAAACAAAAAACAAAAAAACCCAAGAATGAATGACTGCTGAGAAGCAGCAGCTAATCATAAATTAAATTACTCAAAGCCAAATAATTTCAAAAGCAAAATTATTAAAAGCCTTTCACTTAGTATACAGAAAAGAAAAAGGATATAACATAGGTATGGGTGCATGTTAATATATTTGCTATGATGTGGGCTAAAGCTTACTGCTATGGATTGAATTGTGTCTCCCCAAATTCATATGTTGAAGATCTAGCTCCCAATGTGACTGTATTTGGAGGTAGGGCTTCAAGGAGATAATTAAGGTTAAATAAAGAATAGGGGTAGGATCCTGGTCCAATAGGACTGCTGGCCTTATAATAAGGGAAAAGCCATGTAAACACTCAGAGAGAAGGCTGCAAACCAAGAAGAGTCCTCACCAGAACTGGACCATGATGGCACCCTGATTTTGGACTTCCAGCCTCCAGAACTGTGAGAAAATAAGTATCTCTTCCGTAAGCTACACTGTCTGTGGTATTTTTTTATGAAATTCTGGGCAGACTAAGACACCTATGAAGACTTCAGATTGGTCCTGAAGAAACTACCTCTGTACATATCTTCTCTCCTCTACTTCCATGTGAACTCCTTGAGGTCAGGGGGCACCTGCTGCTTCTCCCTGTATCCCCAGAATCCAGTGCACTCCTTGAGAACTAGTGGGTGCACAACAACTGTTGAATTGGATTAAACTCAATTCACACATCTCTTCCATTATATCTGAGTCCTCCTCAAATCTAGCTACAGATTATGTGACCTTAACCATGTTTCATTCTCTAGTAAAGGCACAACTCTCAGGTCTGAATTGATTACATAAAAACATCAAGAGTTTTTATTGAGAGTAGCCTAAAATCTTCTTGCATGCCTCCACATAACCCAGGGCATTTACCTCTCAATGTGATCCCTGCAAGTTGGGACTTCCATTATTACACTAAGAGTTTCCAGCAATTTTAGTAAAGGAGTTTCTTAGCGCTGAGCCCCTAGATTAGATTTTCCCCTGAAACGCACTTATAGCTTGGAGCCCTAGAAGAGAATTTTCTGCTTCTATCTCAGTATTATATGTGTAACACCTATTATGGCAAGGAAGCCTGTCCTCTAGCTATTGCAAATCAAATAACTAAGAGGGTAGCTTTTCCTTGGTGGGGGAAAAAAGGGGGTTTTTGTGTGTGTGTTTGCCTAATTTTGAACTCAAGAACTGTATTATTTTCTTTCCTTAATACTCTGAATCTTTGGTGATTTTTATATTAAAATGTTTGAATTGACATTCATTAGCTAAAACATTTCAGTTCAAGATTATAGCTCATGTGTCAAAATTAAAATAACAAGCACAGCTACCCTTCACTGAGTACCTGCTATGTGCCAGGCACTTAGTAGTTCCTTTAAGAACTGAATAATTATTCAGGGGCTGCTATAGGTGTCAGACTAAAGTAGCTATTGCAGCTTCCTACATAGCTTTTAGCTCTGTATATTACTCTAGATAGATAGAATCTTACACTACCAGTAATAAGAATGAGTTTGGAAGCAGTGGGTGAAGCTGATGGTCACAGTTTCTAAATCAGAGTAGCTATCCATTTGCCATCAAATTCAGCAACTTCTTCATTTAGTGTAAAGAGGACAGAGCTTCGATTCAGGCACACTAAAGTACAAATGTGGCTCAGCTGCATTCTAGTTGTTTGACCCTGTAAAATACAACTTGTCCCAGTCCTCAGCTCTGGTCTCCTCTTCCATAAAATTGGATTTAAACTATCGCGCCTCCATAGTCGCCCTGAGGATTAAACAAGATTATGTACTTGGCATATAGTAGGCATGCAGTTGATGGCAGCTACCGTTATTATTTAAATTAAGGATCTTGCACATACCCTAGGGCATCCTGAACACTTTTCTCAGAAACGAAGAGCAGAGGGAGGAGATTGGGGGCAGTTTCTCAGTTGTCATATGTGCTACCCAAATACCTTAAAATTCAATCAGGGTGACTGATCATCCCAGTTTGCCCTGGCCTAAGGGATTTTCCAGGATGGAAAACTTTCAGTGTTAAAATTAGAACAGTCCCAGACAAACCAAGAGGGTTGGTCACCATAAAGGAGAGAAGCAGAGAGAGGCTTCAACTGGTGGGAGACAGAGGACTCACTGCAGTCATTCTAGTTATCAGCTCCTACCAAACAACGGATGGGACACACAGCCTTCCCCTTTTTCAGCCTTACCCTAACCTTCACCTCTTCTAGCAGCTAAACACATTCCCCACTGCATGTTCCCACACACCTGGTGCTTCAGCCTGGGGGGGTTTCATGTCACCCTCTACTTTAATGAAACTTGCAGTACTAAGAGTTTGTTCTGCCTTCCACTGAGGCCTCCTTGATGAACCATTTCAAACTCTTAACTGAAGTCAAAACTCTTGAGTTTTGGTTTCAAAAGGGTGGAAATTAATGGCAGCCACCAGAAATAAAGTTTCACTTGGTCAGGGTGCAACATTTCCAGTTAAGAATAGAGACACCTTTCCATCCAAGCCAGCTCTTTTCTTTTCACCAGCCAAGCAAGGCCAGAAGGAAATAATCAGTTGCCTCCTTTTCAAGCACACATGGGAAATGACAGCAGCTTTCTTCCTGAGCCCAGTTTTCTTTTTCCTGGCTCCTTACAGGAGGATATTGATTTGATATTCCAACCAAAGAGCAAAAGCTGGGGGTAAAATCACCCTATTCCCTACCTCAAGCTGGAAATAAAATGTTGTGCATCTTCAGATGATATGAGTGAAAGCAACAGAGGTGAGTGTGTGTTGAGGAAGGAAATATCCTCAGGAAACTCAGAGAAGTAATTTCCAAACCAATTCATAGTTAATAGGTATTTTCTTGTCACTGGGGATATCCTTTTCCCTTCAACAATAAGCTGACTGATTCTAAACTTAGGTTCAATCCAAAATGAAACATCTAAAGAATGTTGCCTTGATATTCTGGAACCTGAGGTCATAGCAGTGTAACTGGCAGACATCTTATTTCTTTAAAGACAGGTACACAGTTAACTGTGGGCATGTCCGTCTTACTAACCTGAAGGGAGATACTGCTTAAGATATAGTGTAAGTTAAATAAAAAGAAAACTACCCTTTGGTGGAAAAATACCTTTGCTTTAAGAGATAACTCTAGCAAACATTTATCTAGCTAAGTGTCACCTGACCTTCCCTTAGGGGACTCAAAAGGCTACAGGTTTCCGCCATGCCTTGTAACTGAGAAGTAGTGGGGGCCTCTCATCATCCCCAGGGCTGCTGGTCCAATTCAGCAAGAGGGTATGAGTCCCACAAATAACCTGAAAACAGAGACAGAAAGAAAGGTCTTGCAGCACAGATATCGTGCTTGAGACCACCTAATAAAAGATGGTTTCCTAAAGTTTAAGCTACGCTAAGTTGTCCCAAGTCTCTAAGGATTTTTACAACTTCTAGAAATCTCCTACTCTTCCATGGACTTCATTGAGCATGCCGGCAAAGTGTTGCTACTTCTTCCCTACACAGCCCAAATGGAATCTGGTGAACAAAGCAGGGCTTGGCTGGTGATCGCCTCCCTACTGCTCTGAATCTTCAGGGTCTTAGGAGCCTCTGAAGTATGTCTCTAGAGCATGTCTTATAGAGGCACAGACACCAGAAACACTAGGAAAATGTTCCTAGAGAAATAAAATTAGAGAAAATTGCACATTGAGGGGAGGGGTCTGTAATAAAAATTCAATGTTATTTATACTAGAAAGACAACAGGCGGAAATTGCCAACTCTACTATATATTCTCATCAGACCCATAGAGAATGATTGTTTACGGTTCTGAACTTCAAAGCATTTACTTGAACAGGGTTGTCAGCAAAAGCCTATATAATACCACCCAAATCAAGATCCTTCAGATACAGCTTCATAATTGCCTTCACTCACTAGGTTCTGGACAACTCTCATTGTCTTCTTAAGGATGCATCCCACATGAAGGACAGCCATGTTTCTTCTGCTTACCACTCTATTCCAAGTGCTTAACACAGTGTTTGAAACACTGTTAATAAGCACTCAATAAGCTGTTGAATAAACGTGCTATATATGAAAATTCAAGTTTATAAGAATAACAGAAATTAAGTGATTACTAGCTTTGCAAAAAGATTTACAATAAGATTCCTCTGAAGAATGAGCAACCATTGCACATGTAAGCTGATTCCATATTTTAAAATTTCATTTGTGCCAACTTTTCTAATCAAACATCTATTGTATGAAGTGACCAATCCATATGCCACACAGCGCTTTCACCTAAAAATAAATGAAAAAGAGAAAGAAGAAAAAGAAATGTTCTTCTTTATAGAAGAATGACAACTATTTATGGAAAAGAAATGGTAACTGAAACCCAGTCCCCTGAAACAGAGTCCCCTGATGAGTTTATGATTAACCACTCTATCCAAAACTTTCTCTTTCTTGTCCAGCCCCTCTTCCCCTCAGGACTGAGTAGTATCAAAGAAAAGGGGAGGCTGAAGTCGAGCAGGGCCTTGGAGGGCCCTCTCAGGTACAAAAGTCCCTCCATGTTCCCTGTTTCTTATTTGTAGAAAATGGCTTTAGTCTCCTAGGCCTTCCCCCTAAGTTCTAAAGGGCTAAGACTAAGGCAATTACTAATTAGGGAAGTGATGGAATGCAAAAATAAAGGAAAAACAAATAGTTCAGCAATAAAACAGAGGCTGAGCTCCTCCTAAAGGGATATACACACAATCTGATGCATATCTTCGAGTTGTTCCGAAGAAACTAAGACCGCCAACCTGGTAGAAGATGGTGACGATCTGCTGACCATAAGCACAGAAACCTCAGACTAGCTGGAACCAGAAAGTTGATGATTAAGATTCCCAAAACATTAGCCTGTTACCTCACCACCAACCAATCAGAAGAAAGTCCAGGAGCTACAACCCTCACCCCAAATGTTGCCTTTAAAAACTCATACTTGAAAGCCATCAGGGAGTTACGGTCTTTTGAGCACAAGCTGCCTGCCCATTATCCTTGCTTGGCACCCCGCAAATAAATGCTGCACTTTCCTTCACCACAACCCAGGGTCAGTAGCTTGGCTTTGCTGTGCATCAGGTAAGCAAACCCAAGTCTGGTTTGGTAATAATTTTCGCATTAGAAAATCACCATTTTGCACAGTTTCCAACATAATTTATTCAGGAAAGGATCGGGGGTAATAAAACCATTAGGTAAAAAATTGGGAACAGGACATTTGCAAGGTGCTAAAACATCCTCTACAGATTTCTAATTGTAAAAGAAATAACGGATCTTAACTCTGGAGAAATACTCAAAATGTATTTTTACAATGGAAAGTCCTGAGAGTGTTTTTTTTAAATGTATCTTTACAACAAAAACTCTGAAAGTGATTAAAAATATGTATCTTTATAATGGAAAGTTCTGCAAGTGATCAAAACGTATCTTTAAAAGGAAGAGTTTGAGAAATTATCAAATTTAGCATCACTAAGAGTGGGACAAACTGATATTACGTATCTCTTGATATGGTACAACAGGAAGTAATGTTTAACCTAAATCTCTTTGTCTGTAGACCATGCTGTCCAACAGAAATAAAATGCGAGTCACATATGCAATTTAAAATTTTCCAGAAGCTACTTTTTAAAAAGTAAAACGAAACCGATGAAATTAACTTTATTTTATTTAATCCAATTTATTCAAAATATTATTTCAGCATGTAATCAACATAAAATTGAGGTATTTTACATTCTCTTTGTCATAATAAGTCTTTATTCTACGCTTTTACAGCACACGTCAGTGCAGACTACTCACATTTCAAGTCCTCTACAGACACATTTGGTTAAGTGGCTAAATTATTGGACAGCACAGCTCTAGACCTAACTCCAGTATAAGGAAAACAAGGGATACAACAAATCACCACTTAGTCCGCCAAAGTGAAAATGCAGTTAACTGCTCCTTTGTCACATCCCTTAAGCCCTTAGGAGTAAGGACCGTGTCCTATCCTGTTTGTTTTTCATGTGTGTGTGTGTGTGTGGGGGGGTGTTCCCTACCTTATAATCAATTAAGCTTTAAGGAGAGCAGTGAGCAGTTAGAAAACTTAATTGATGCTGTAAGTCTTGGGTGGCATCTAAGTAGTTTCTAATACAGATGTGAAGTTATGTCCAAAGATATTAAGAAGAGAAAATAGCATAACAAAGTATCAGCTAACACTGAGAACTTACCTGAGCCAGGCACATAAGTATCTAGCAAACAGTCATCAGAATGACTAAGTGAATGAATTTTTCAAGTGAAAAACAGAAAGACAAAACTACTACAAACTATAAAAGACATGAAGGAACATATCATCTCATTCCCACCTAAAAATTTGCAGTGACTCTCTAGGTAATTAAATCAACTTCGAATTTCTGCCTGGAATCCAAGAATTGTTATAATAAGACCCAATTTACTTACCTGTTTCCAATTTCTCTCTCATTCCTCCAAGATAAACATTCCATTCCCAGCATTATCTCCCAAACAAGCCATGCATTTGCTTTCACCTCCTAGCCCTTATCCACACCTGGTTCTAAAAGCTTGGAATGCGGCCCTGCTCTCCTAGCTGCTGCTCCAATCCTAATCATCCTTCACGGCACACCTCATCTGTGAAGTCTTATCTGACTCAAGTCCATAGAAACTTCTCCCTCTTCTGACCTAACAGCCCTGACATCGCTGGCCTTGGTCAAATACATTCTTGTTTCCCATGCATGCATTCCTTGTTTAATAAGTATGCTGCAATGGGCTGGAGCTATGGAAGCCAGGGCTCTAACACATCTCTGCCACTGATGTATAGGATTTGGACAGGTCACTTGTCCTCTCTAGACCTGTTTCTTCATGTGGCCTCTTTGCTACCCCTTCAGCACACCAGCTACACGCCCCTGCCTCAGAGCTTTTACACCTGCTGTACCCTCTGCCTAATATGCTTTTTTACCCAGATTATCTGCTAACAAAACTATATATGCATTTACCCTTGGACCTACAAGCCAACTTCCATAAATTTAAGATACACTTCCACAAATACAAAACCACATATCCACAAAGTTACTCACCATATAATTCTATACAGGTTCTATAAAATATCAGAAACTTAGAAACACCTAAATGCCCATCCATAGGAAACTAATTGAATGAGTTATGGTACACCTTTACAAAAGTATAACACAGAGGAGAGAAGAGGAGGGACAGAAGGGGGCAAGGGAGGAAAAGGAGAAGGACAAAGAAAGAGATCTCCATGACCTAAAGTAAAAAAATAAATACATATATTTATCAAAAAATAAATTTAACTTAAAAAAGCAAGGTATAAAATAATTATCTATAACATCTACTTTTTACATGAGAAAGGAGGAAGTAAAGTACATATAAATAAATATTTGCTTATTTTTAGAAAGAGACACAGGAAAGATAATCTAGAAACTAGTGAAATGGTTAGCTATAGAACATGGGAATGTGGTGCCAGAGAGTAAAAATTCTCTGAATGGATGTAGTTTTGACTTTCAAACAGTGTAAGTACTTTACTTTTTCAAAAAATAAATAAAAAGGGAAAAAAACCCATAAAATTGAGTAAGAGAAACAAATGACTTTATATTAAAACCACAAATGAAAAGGAATTCATTCAAGTAACATTTAAACACAGTGCTTTGACTATTTCCCTTAGTGAGAAACACCTTAAGGACACAAAGAACTGCAAATTTGTTTTTCAAAAAATATATATTGAACTCTACTTAGTAAATTTGTTGTTCATAGTAGCACTGCATTGGCAAGTCTGAAATTATTAACAGAGCAAATCAGTAAATATACTGAGGTTCTTGGGAACCAGAATTTTCACTGTGTGAGAAGAAAGATACAAATATTTTCAGGGAAAATGCAAGAAAGAATTGTGGTATTAGATAAAATTATGATTTTTATATATACATATTTCTTAGCTCTGCCTGTTGGAAAAGCCTAAAAAAAACCCATAACTTAGTAGCAATGAGCACACAAAACACCCACATCTTGCTTTCTTAATACCATTCTCCATTAAAATGAAGCAGAGGTCCTTGGAGAAAAAACTGATTCCTGTTCTGGGGACAGGAAAATACAAGGTGAAGAGGAAACTGCTTGTGCCATTAAGCAAAGAAATGTTCCAAGACTGATGGGGAGATAGCAAAAGCACACAGGAACTAGCTTGAACGGGGCTCCCACTGGATAACTCCAGAAAATCTGAGCAGTCAAAGTATAACAATGGTAACAGATTATAGCATATATGAAAAAAAGAACCCATCAGTCCATAGTGGTTTGTAAAGAATGGTGAAAGGCAAAAAATGGAAGCAAAGGGGAAACCTCTTCTTTACAGAAGAATGATACCTAATACATGTAGAAGAAATGATAAAATTAAGAACTCACCCTATTACAACTACCCATGTAGTTACTGGCAGAAAGATGATCGATGAATGCTACCATTTCCTGAAAGTTTGCTGGTAAACAGGATATTCACATAAATTTTAAAATATCACCTTACAGGCTACTTACTAATCACAAAAGAGAAAGGTTGCTTTTTCAATGGAGAAATCTGAAGATACTACTTTAACCAAGTGATCAAACTTAGTATCATCAGTAATGAGAACACACCAACAATATATGAACCTGACAATCATCAATACATGATGCAGTGGGAAATATCACCCTGTAGTAGTCTTGCCAAGATTTTAAAATCTGAATCCAACCATGAGAAAACAGACAAATCCGGATTGTGAGGCAAACTTACTAGCAACTGGCATGGAGTCATCAAAAATGTTACTGTGATGAAAGACTGAAAAAGCAAAGCTGAGAAACTGTTCTAGTGTGAAGGAGATCAAGAGACATGACCACAAAATGTAATGCTTAATCTCTGAATAGACCCTGAAAAAAAAAACCTAATATTATTGCTAAACTACACTGGGCATATAAAATATATGCCCAATGTTACATTTCTTTCGCAAGATATATATATATATATATATATATATATATATAATACAAGATAATGTCCTAGTTCTTAGGGGTTATATGCTAAAGTATTGAAAGGTAAATTGTCATGGTGTTTGCAACTTACTGTTAAATGGTTCAAAATTTTTAAAAACTATATTCTAAATGCAAGGCGGTATCGTGGATAGGATCTTGTAATAGCAAAAAGACATTAGCGGAAAAACTAGTGGGACTTCCCTGGTGGCGCAGTGGTTAAGAATCTGCCTGCCAATGCAGGGGACACGGATTCTATCCCTGGTCTGGGAAGATCTCACACACCACAGAGCAACTAAGCCCATGCACCACAGCTACTGAAGCCCGCGCCCTAGAGCCCGTGTCGCAACTACTGAAGCCTGCGCGCCTAGAGCCCACACTCTGCAGCAAGAGAAGCCACTGCAATGAGAAGCCCGCGCACCGCAACAAAGAGTAGCCCCCACCAGCTGCAACTAGAGAAAGCCTGTGTGCAGCAACGAAGATCCAACACAGCCAAAGATAAATAAAAATTTATAAAAATACAGGCATATTAAAAAAAAACTGGTGAAATCCTAATGAAGCCTTTAGTTAATGGCAGCGTACCAGTATTAATTAGTTTTGACAACTGAACCAAGGTTACATAAAATAATAACATTAGGGGAAACTGAGTGAAGGGTGTACCAGAACTCTCCATACATTAGATGCAACTTTTCTATAAAGCTAAACTATTCCAAAATAAAAAGTGCATTTTAAAAAATGTATGTTTAAAGAGAGAGAAAGCAAATGGAGCAAAATGTTAATAACTGGTAAATCTCAGTTGACAGGTATATGGATGTTTACTAGCCAATTATTTTAACTTTTCTGTAGGTTTAAAATTTGTCAAAATGTGAAGAGAAAATAAAGTGACAGAAGGTTAAAAGCAAAAGAATGGAAAAAGATATTCTACATGAACACTAACCAAAAGAAGACTGATGTTACTATACTAATGCTAGACAAAGTAGCCTTTAGGAAAAAATAAAGGAAAAGTTCCTAATTAGAAAAGTTCAATTTACCAGAAAGACAGCAGAATCTAAATTTATATGCACCTAATCACACAGCATCAAAATTTATAGAACAAAAATTGTCTGAACTAGAAGGAGAAATATGTATATCCAGGGTCATGAGAGATTTCAGTACGTCTCCAAAACAAAGAGTACACCAAGAAAACAAAACGGTAGGATACAGATTTGAACAATTCAATCTGCAAGTATGACCTAATGTACGTATGTAGAGTTCCACAACTGCAGAATAAACATTCTTTAAAAGCTCACATGGAACATGTATAAAGAATGTTCATACACTGGGCGATAAGCTTGTCTTTACGGGAGGAGGCGTAAGGCAGGCTTCCAAGGTGCTGGCATTGTGATATTCCTTGACAGGGTGGTGATTACATAGGTTTTTGCTTTGTTGATAAATTCTGTTTCGTAGTTCATTTTTTGTATGTATTTTATATATTGTGTGTATATTATATATTTCTTATTGTTGTTCAGTTTATGTGCATTACATTTTACAACTTAAAAAGAGTTAGAATCCTTTAGGAAGGTAGCCATCTCCCATAAAACAATAAGCCCAATGCAGCTTATTTTTCCTTCAGCATTTCAACTAGTTGCTGTTTTTTGTTTCACACCTGATGAAGTAATAGGCTTGTGCTTAGAGGCTTCCTTATACAAAACTTACGTATCTTTAAACATAAAAAATATATTCAGCCCAGCAAGACATTTATTCTTAAGAGAGACACATAGGAATTGAGACTGAGGGAACAGAGAATCCATGAATCCCAGCTCACACTTAATCCAAGGAAGTATAGGTTCATAGGCTCATTTAATAAAATAGGCACAATCACTTACAATAGTAAAATTATTTTCCTTTCACCTTTCTTTTTTTTGGCCAAGCTCATTTCATTTAATTTGCCTAAGTTAAATGTTAAGTAGGCTTTAGGCCCCAGGAAGGATTACTTTGATGTTGGGAATAACTAAGGCTATGCAGACTGAGGGAGCAGAAAAGAATCTAATGGAGGGAAAACAAAACAGCTGCCCCAGAAGAACCAAACAAATATGACATGATTATGGCCCATAGTAATCTTAATATAACCTTTATATCTTAATCCTGATATAGTAGTAGTAGTAACAGAAGGAGTATTCAGTAACGTTTACTGAAGGCTCATCATCATCACCAATAACATTTCTAAAGGTCTACCACCTGCCAGGCACCACGCTCTATATAAGATTTTCCTCGATTGTTTCATCTAAACATCTCACAGTAAGCCCAGAAAGTAGGTAAATTACTAGTTCCATTTTACAGATGAAGAAATAGGCTGAGTAACTGGCCAAAACCACCCAAGTAGCAAGTGTAAGAAATGGAAATCTAACATAGCTAGCCTGAATTCAGAGAATGTAACCTTATCCACTCTGCTATACAGCCTGTTCCTAGCAGGTAAACAATGATTTGCACTTAATGATCTCTAAGGAATATTTCAGTTCTAACGTTCTAGGATTTGCTTTAATGATTCTATAATAGAGCATTCAACTAGGCCCAGTAATCTCAAACTGTATAAAGCAAAATAAGGAAGCTCCATAAAATCTCTTTACATGACCTGAAAAGTTAGAATTCAGGTTCCTTAGGATTATCAGAGTTGGACTTTCCCCATATTAAACCCTTCAAGAAATAGAAATGTTTTTCTTGTCTGTCAATCAATACCTAATATTTTTTCCTCATATGAAAACAAATGGCACAGACAATATCAAATGACATTCCAGAAAGAATAAGAGAATTTGCAATGCTGTTGGCTTGATCCTTTTTGTTTTGTTTTTTGTTTTATTTATTTATTTTTGGCTGCATTAGGTCTTCGTTGCTGGGTGCGGGCTTTCTCTCTAGTTGCGGCAAGCAGGGGCTACTCTTTGTTGCAGTGCTGCTCAGGCTTCTCGCTGCAGTGGCTTCTCTTTATTGTGGAGCACAGGCTCTAGGCACATGGGCTTCAGCAGTTGTGGGACATGGGCTCAGTAGCTGTGGCGCACAGGTTTAGTTGCTCCGTGGCATGTGGGATCTTCCCAGACCAGAGTTCGAACCCGTGTCCCCTGCATTGGCAGGCGGATTCTTAATCACTGTGCCACCAGGGAAGTCCCCATTGGCTTCATCTTTAAACACAATTGGACTCAAGACAAATCTGATAGATGCAGATTTCTGGGGGAAATCCTAAATCCTAAAATTTCACCTAAATTTAGTGAAAATCAAATAAACTGTTTATAAACTATTGATATTAGCCTTGAAAAAATATTATTGGTGGTTAATTGAATATATTAAAGCTAAAAAAAATTCTTATAAACATAAGACCTATTTGTTCTTTATACAAAATACTGAGTGATCATAATCAAGTCAAAATATTCTCATTTGTTCTTTTAAAATCATCATGAGAGTTCTTTTTAAAAAGCAAAACTAGCTGCCTAATTTACTCTTTTAGAAGAAAAACAGCTAACTCCACAATGGATATAATATAAAAAGTTGTTAGATGCTCCTTAGCCTCATAAATAATATGAAGTATACCTCATACAAGAAGCATACTGACACTTTTGTAATAATCTGAAATACTAGAAGCTTCTGGGAAATGGAAATAATTTGTTAAAAAACAAAGTATGGTACAACTACTTCTCTTCGAGGCCTCAATAAGGAAAAAAAATTTATTAGGTCCAGCAATCCAAGAAAACTTGGTGTATTTACAAGTACATGCAGAATTTGATGGTTAGAAATGAAATCTATTTAGGTCCAGCCTAAGATTCTCATAGCCCATCTATAGGCACAATCATAGTAGTAATATCCCCAGAAACCAGGATAAATCTCCAATGTGCCTGAATTTAATGAACCAGATAGATCATTGTATCACCAATATCTGCCCATAGCCCATTTTCAGTAAGATGAATTTTCTTGCTCGTGAGGTCCACGTGGAAAACAGCATGCTCAGAAATGGGGGTCTTCTCAGCGTGCTCTTTTCCCAGGACGGGAACTCGCCGAGGCCCCAACAGTGGATCATCAAATCTCATCAGTTTCACTTTGGAAAGGTCTACAGCAAAAGAAAGTATCAATATGAACATTTAATTACAGTCACTGACTCAAACCCATGCCTGAGCCTGATAATTCACACTGGTTGTTATATCTAAAACAATATTTTCATCAGATTACTAAGTAGGACCCGATGTCAGAAAGCAAAGCTGAATCTAACAAATCTTCATCTTCTGTCAACTTTTACCCAGATCAAAGACCAGCAGAGATTCTGGATAACACATCTCCTGAATTACAAACCAAGGGGAGGGACTGATTATATTTTTGAGTATTATCCTATATGGTCTCTCAAATCACTTTTAATACACTTCAGTTAACCATTTTTCAGAATATTAAAAAGCCTAAAACTTATTTATCTTGCTTGTCTTGCTTCCTGGAATACTTAAAAGTTCAAGAATTGTGGCTTTTGGGGAAAGATAATTTTGGAAAAAGAATTACTACTCTAAGAAATAGCATTACCAGTTTCTTGTTTTGCTCAAAGGATGACAGTGTATTAACAAGCTAATGAGAGACAAGGAAAGAAGGGGAATGGCTGGGGGAAAGGGCGCAGGTTTTAGAATTTTGAGCTTTTGGATGAGTTCCAACCCTCCCTTGCTTGAGATTTTCCTGATCTGCTCTTATGCAAGCTGATAAGATGGCTCCTGGTAAAGACAGCACTTGTCCCTTGAACAAATTTATGATCCAACAATCCTGCCAACAACTGAGCCCAAAAGAAATTTATTTATTTCAGCAATTCTGAGACTTTTCAACATCAAATGGTTTTATTTTATATGGTAGAAAAACACCATAAATGACTACAAATGCTGATTCTGGATTTACAGCTCATTCTAAGTGTAGCATGGCTAGTTTATACTTAACCTGATCCACAGAAACTGAAGATATTTTCTGAATTACTTCCCACCCCTTTCTAAAGTAGATTGCTGGGTGGTATGGGCTACACTCCCTCATGTTGCCTTGAGAGTATGAAACTTAGCATGAGAGGGATAAGATTTAAAAAAAGATAAAAGGAAACATTAATGCAGCTGGCGGCTATGCCAGGAGTACAGGTTATCCAGGCATTCTATTCTCCTTGGGAAACAAAGACTAAAGGACTACAAGTTTAGGGTAGGGATCCTGGGGCTTATGGAGCAATTATCTGCAACTACCATGAAGGCAAACCCTGCCTAAGAGTCTTTGTAGAGTCTCTGCAGAGGCCATACAATCTATCCCCATATACAGCACAAGCCCTGAAAATTAAAATGGGAAAGGAGCACTTACAGTCTTCATGACAGCCATGGTCTTATTTGGGGGGAAGAACACAATTCATTTTAACAGCTACTGCAATTCAACATGTACATCAGCGATAGCAAATTATTTTCTTATGGAAGTAGTGACAAGTCCTACCGGCAGATTTTATGCACAAAGCCTTTTACTGCAGATCTGCCTCTGTCTCTCTCTCTCACTCTCTCTGAAACAGACCTCCGTCATCATTCCAAGCAATGCTGAATCAAACTATTTCAAAGAAGCCTTAATACCCAACCAGGCTTCTAAGTGACAAAACACATCTGCTCTGATGTTTCACCATGTAGTTATTACTGCCAATAAAATTACTGGTGCTTTCTTAGTGGTTTTACTATCTTTTCTTATCCCAGACCTCTCTTATCATTGAAAATGTTGAAATTTAAGTCTGCAACTAAACAAGATTTAAGGCACTTAAAGATGAGAGTGATTGAGAGTCCCTAGGGACTGATAATGTGAAATGGAGCTTTTCACCTCCAAATTATTAGTTCATATGTGGCATGGGTGGTAAGTGATTTAAAGTCATTATCGTCAAATAGTTGCTCCATGGCCTTTGTGGACTGAATGACGATTTTAGCTAGTGCCTCCTGGACCTAGATCATAATCACCCTCAATACAATTGGCACTAATTGGATGACTTGCTGGCTATCACAGCAGACAGACTGAGAAATATGTTATTGAATTTCACTCCTTTCCCATCTCATATACTCAATATACTCAGTCCCCTTAGATATCAAAGTGTTCTGAGGGCTTCTGGAAAAGTCTTAAGTTTAGAGCTCTTCTGTAGATACTTGGAGGAATATCAATTGCAAACTCCCCCTAATATTTCTATTTTCCAAATTCACAGTAGCCACTAATACCAAACTTAAAGCACTTCATGATAATATTATTCACAGCTAGAATGACAAAGGATGTAAGAATTATGCCAGAGGCTCAGTGAGAAAAGACGAGCTAAAGAAAACACATCAGTACAGTTCTAAAGAACCTAGTCAGTGCTGCATCTGAGTGTTATTTAAAAGGGAGTCAGGTTTAACATTATATTATATAATACAATTTCCAATACAGGAATAAAACCTCTTATGCACTATAACCTCATAATAATCCTATCCAGCATGTCCACACAAATATCTGTTTTCTTTAGAAGCCACCATATTGTTCTTCAAAGTTAAGAGTTCTTCCTATTACAAAAATTTCTCATGACTGAATATATGCAATATAAAACAGCCAAAAGGAAGGCCACAAAACGGCTTCCTATATGTTCACACTTCAAAATTTTCAAGTTCTGCTTTTTGTGGCCTATAAGTTCTAAGGATGGCATTATCATTCTACAGTACCTGGTTTATTGAAGGAACACGCTAAATGTCTACAACAAAATGGATGAACCTTGAAAACATCTTGCTAAGTGAAATAAGACATACAAAAGAACAATATTGTATGATTCCACTATACAGGTACCTAGAACAGTCAAATACACAGAGTAGAAGAGTAGTTACCAGCGACTACAGGGAGGAATAACGGGGAGTTATTATTCAATGGGTACAGAGTTTCAGTTTGGGATGATGAAAAAGTTCTAGAAATGGATAGTGTGATGGCTGCACATCAGTGTGAATGTACTTAATGCTACCGAACTGTACACTTAAACAATGACTAAAACGGTCAATTTTATGTTATGTATATTTTACCACAATTTTTTTAAATGTCTGCAAACAAAAATATTCCTAGTCCTAACATATTGCTGGTACACAGTGAAAAAAGTATCAGTGTTTCCCTCATGCTAGTACACACTTTCCCTTCACCCTCACAGGTGTAATTCTCAAGGCCCTATCAAACAATGTTTTCTCCATAAAATCATCTCTGATCACCACAGCTGGAAATAATCTCACCTTTTTCTGTGTGTAAATTTTACTATGTCTCTCTTACTGTACTCAGCAGTTTCTCCTTAGATTATGATTATGTACTTCAATAGCTTAGTCCCCTACTCCTTCACTAGATGCAGCCTCCTAATGAACAGTACTTTGTGGACTCCCCAAAGCCCCTAGTACCTACAAAGGAGTCTCTGCATACACACTTGTCTCTACACACACTACACATGATATTCTCTCAAGAAATGACAACAGAAGGTACACGAATGACTTCAAGAGAACAAAAAATACATGGTAGAATGAATTCCAAAGGGCTATTTTAAGTCTTCTATGTAAATGGAGTGTTGTCACCCTGAATATAATTCCATAAATTGGTCACTGTATAGGATTTGTAAATCTTTTCAGAAAATTTTATACTGATGGTATTTGGCCCAATCAACTCTTGATTGCCATAAGAAGAGAAGAGAGAGATTATGCAAAATAGGGAATCTCAACATTAATTTGTCTTCATAATTTGGAAGAAAAATAATACAGAAACAAACTAATTCCCTTCGCGCTCTTCTCAGCGTAAGACCAGCTGAGTAATTAAAAAAAGAAGCTATACAATCCCACTACTGGGCATATACCCTGAGAAAACCATAACTCAAAAAGAGTCATGTACCACAATGTTCACTACAGCACTATTTTCAACAGCCGGGACATGGAAGCAACCTAAGTGTCCATTGACAGATGAGTGGATAAAGAAGATGTGGCACATATATACAATGGAATATTACTCAGCCATAAAAAGAAACGAAATTGAGTTATTTGTAGTGAGGTGGATGGACCTAGAGTCTGTCACACAAAGTAAGTCAGAAAGGGAAAAACAAATACCGTATGCTAACACATATATATGGAATCTAAAAAAAAAAAAAAAACAGGTCTGATGAGCCTAAGGGCAGGAGAGGAGTAAAGATGCAGACTAGAGAATGGACTTAGGACAAGGGGAAGGGGAAGGGGAAGCTGGGACGAAGTGAGAGAGTAACACTGACATATATACACTACCAAATGTAAAATGGATAGCTAGTGGGAAGCAGCTGCATAGCACAGGGAGATCAGCTCGGTGCTTTGTGGCCACCTAGAGGGGTGGGATAAGGAGGGTGGGAGGGAGATGCAAGAGGGAGGAGATATGGGGATATATGCATATGTATAGCTGATTCACTTTGTCATACCACAGAAACTAACACAACACTGTAAAGCAATTATACTCCAATAAAGATGTTAAAAAAAAAAAAGCTATAAGTTGTTATATCAAATCTAATCATAGGAGATCTAGACTTAATCTTGCTAAGAAATTAAGATTATTTACATATTTTACCCGGAGGCACACTGTCTGAAAGAAAGAATATGAGCTTTGGAGTCAAATATATCTAAGTTTGAATTCCAGCTCCAGGATTTACTAGCTGTATGAACTTTGCAAGTTATTTAGCCTTTCTAACCTCCATTTCATCGTCTGCAAAAGGGGACTAATACCCTAAATGCTACAGGGTTGTAAAAGGATTAAATGGCCAATACACGGCAGACACTCCATAACTTTAACTCTGTTTCTCTTCCTTCCCCAGGAACAGATTCAGTCAAGCAGGTTAGTTTGGAATTAAGGGAATATGTTCCTTCATTCTGAATACTTCTGAGCGTTGGAAACTGCTTATTACAATTTTAAAGCTAGATGGAATCCTGGAAAAATATCTAATCCAGGGTCCTCATTTCACTAAAAGAGAAATCAGTTTAGAGCTTAAGTGACATGGCCAAGCCACCAAGCTACCAAGTCACAATGTCCCAAAAGAAAATATAGGTGTCCTGATTCTGGGTCCAACACTCTTCCACAACATTACATGACTGTCCCTAAGCAGGACAGTTACTTTTCTTTCCCCCCTCTGCTTAGAACTCATCAAATCCACAAGCTACTGCCAAATGTGCACTTCAAGGAAACCATTTACCTTTGATTCCTCGGTCCACCTTCATTAAACGCCGGATTATAGAATCACGGTTATCTCCTTGCCTGATTTCAATTTTGGTTGAGAAGTGGCCATTGAATGGCTGAGAATTCACTAGGGAAACTGATACACCAGGCTAAGAAAATAAAGAGAAAATGACTGTTATAAGAAATCAAACTTGAATACTGCTGAGGGAGAAGGAATCTCTGCTAGATTTTTAATGCCCAATGAAAGACAGATTTAATTCTGGTATTCTAAAATCAAGACCAAGGGATACTCAAATATAAAAGAAAAAATGTACAAAAGCTCATGCTTATAACCAAATGCCTAGGTAAAAATGACTATGAGTATACATATCAATACTGATGATGGATAAAAACAATAATTCTATTTTCTCTTCTAAAACTACCACCATTTATTGAATTCCTACTATGTACCAGACACTGTACGAAGCACTTTATAGACATTATTCCTGTATCCTGAAAGGCAGTTCCTTAAGACCCTTTTTCACAGATGAAAAGCTGAGAACCAGAAAGATTAACGAAGTAGCCCAAGGTCACATAGCTAGTAAGAGGCAGAGCCTCACCTTTACTGAGAATAAACTCATTTCTATGACATACTAACTCCCACATAATATAAATGATATAGTTAAAGAACTTGCTCATTATTTTAAGTGGAAAAAGTCAACTGAGCCTTATGAAACTTAAATACATAGTAGCTTAATGGAATGCTTGAAAAAAGCTTGAAATAAACATATTTGTATGGGGAAAACTATTTCATGTACCTATATTCATGGCCCAAATGACTGTACTTTTAAAAGCCACCATATCTTAATGTAACGAGACTATTTATAATCTGATGATAAATTTAGGAGGTCTGCATGATCATGATTACTTCATTCTTTCAAAATAGACTTCTTCTGCTTGCTGCATTTTCAATTAAATGTGGTAAAAGTGGCAGGATATATGTAAGTCCTCTGTTTATCAAGAAAAGTAGGGCATTTTATGGACTCTCACAATGGCACTCCAGTGAACTTTACCAAATGCTGCCATTCTGCATGGATTCTTTAAGAGTTAATAAATAAAATCTCCCCAAACTTCAAAACCTATTTATCTTCACCAGTAATGGTCAAAAAATAAGAAATTAAAAAAGCATTTCCAGTATAATGGGAAATGATGCATCAATCTGTTTTATGCCAGAAACCAAAAGTCTTGAATACCATTACTAAACCAAAACTCATCTGAAATATGAAAGCTCCTTTTCACTGTTTAAAAAAGTTTCACATTTCAATGTCCACTATCTTTTTTTTTAAGTCAGGTTTTGAAAACCATATTCTTATTTTTAAAATCACAATCAACATCTGATGCTACCTGTGATAGTAGAGTAAGGAAAAGTGAGGGTTGCATTAACCAGGGAATTAGAGGACCTCAAATCCAGACCCACTACTAACCAACTAAGTGGCCTAAGCCAAGCTAATCATTTAACTTCTCTGGACCTCACTTCTTTCCATCGTTAAAATGATGGTTTTAGATGTAAAGCTCTCTAAGGTCTCTTCTAGCTCTAAAATGCAACGATTCAGTGAGATTCTTTCAACTTACTTCTGTTCTAAAAACATTAAGTGGTTTCCCAGGACAGCAATCTTCCCTGACTTTATCTTCTGCTTCAGAGGCAAACTTGACTTCTATGTGTTCTAGCTAAGTAGAGGGGAAAGATGGAAGTCATTAGTATCACTTAATATGATTGGAATTAGTCATCACCTCATTTCACCAAAGAGCAAAACCAAGTTCTCCACTTATCATAAAATGGCCTGTGCAGTTTTATTATTTTCCATATAAACATTATATGAAACCTATCATCAAGTATTTAACACTCATGTTAGATGCCTCATAGTATGTTATTTACAGAGTCATGTTTACCATCTTCTATCAGGAAATCTGGCATCTACCTGCTGCCTAAGAGAAAACAAAAATCAGTATAAAAGGCTTTCACTCAAATAAATGGAAAAACTCAGAAATGTAGCAAATTGCATATACCTGAATACAAGATGACCCTAAATAAAGTGTTCCCATTGTCCCAGTGTAAATATCCAAGAAGTTTTTTGACCTCCATGAGTATATATGAACATTTAGAAATATACATAAAATAGATGTCTACTAATACTTTATTAACACATTTATAATTACATGACATAAAATGCTTATTTAGAAATGCGTATTTCTTCCATTCTTGTATTTCATAAAACAATTTTATTCAAACTCTAAACCTGCATTTTTTTATTTATTAGTCTTTTCATTATTACTAGAACCACTTTTTGAATCCTCTAACACAATTTCCTATAGAAAATTATCTTTCCTTCTGCCTAAGGTGAATGAGAGACAGCATTTTTAGAATCTATATATTAAATTGTCACTGGGGCAGGAAGATGGAATGGGGAGAAACTCAGATATGTAAAAGCTACTGGTAATGTTCTAGTTCCTGAGTTGGGCAGTAGATTCATGGATGGTGATTATATTACTAATCAAGAAAAAAAAACGGGGCCAAACATGGACCACTGATAATATATAATGAATCAAGGATTCTAATTAATCCAAATCTGTGATTCTGAGGTCTTAAAGGGAGGGGGGGGAGAAAAGCAATCCAGAATACCCCATAATATGAGAGATTTTGAAAGCATTTGAATATAAGGCCTCTCCTCATTTCTTTTTACGGATAATTTTGAGAGGAAATCCAGGCATATACAGTTAGTATTTTAGGAATAGAATAACTGATAAGTGAAATAAGAGAACAGATCATTTCCTCTTCCTGTAACTTCTATACCACCCATTCTCTTTCCCCCCAAAATATATTTGGCAAAGGTACTAAACATAGAAGATGAAATTTATAAAAAGGTTTATTATAAAACTAAAGAACTGGATAATCCCAGGCCCCTCTTACCTCAAGGGAATTGGTCAGATAGACTATATTCTCCATGAGCACTGCCTGTTCGTCAAATTCTAATTGCAAATCCAGAACACGAGGTCCCATCTTCTCCAGATTTTCCTAGCAGCCAAAATGGTTTTGAAAAACAAAATCACATTAAGAATATGATGAAAAGAACATATTTCTCCCAAAGCAATCAGTCTCTCAAGTGATAATATCTTCAAATTTGAACAGTTAAAGGAAAGGCCTTGGACTCATGGCTTCCCTTATCTATGTTTGCTCGCTAATGAAATTACTCGCTGAGAGTAATTATCATTTAAAGTATGATAAGATTAAGACAGCACTGAAAAGACTAGAAGGACAAGGTTTTCAGATTTATAAAAGAAATATGATTTCATCATTGTTAATTTACCCTGACTTTACTTTATATGCAAACCCAAAGAACTCACTTTGACAAGGAATCAAACAAATGTCTTAAAATACCCCTTCAGGTAACAAATAAAATAAATTAAATGTTTCCAAGATACCACATCTGTAAAGCTATTTCAAGAAACAGTGAATTAATAATAACCAAACATTCCTATAAATTTAAAAAATTTTTTAAAAATCAGATTATATGGTTACTCAGATAATCCTACGACATATAAAAAACCATTTTATTCTTAATTTTAACATTAAATATCAATATTTGCTGCTCAAGATGTAACCTTCAAGACCTAAGTTCATATGCACAAATACAGCTAACTGCCTAGAACATGTTTCACTTACATGAAAGTGACCTGACATGATTCTTAATATTCACTACCTTCATTTACCATCCAAGTTGTTTCTTTTCCCATGAGGTGCTAGAAAACCCTTTTCTTATTCCCAGATTTATTAAACACTTTTCAAAGTTTCAAACCACTAATTTGCTTCATAATACCAAGTAATACCAATATTACTGAAAAAATATTTTACTACTCAAAAACTCTAACACTGGTTTTTCAAAAAGCCAACCTTTGAATCTAACATCATTTAAAATCAGTTTCACTGGATTCTATAAAGCATGTCACCAAAATTAATTGCCTCTGCAACCAACAATGGGATATTTTGTTGATTTCCCCATATTGACAATGGATCTGACATTATGACCAATGGCACTAGCTGGGAACCAATGAATTATGAGCATACCAGCAAATATAACTTATTTTTGTAGGTCAAGCCATGATTTTAAATTATTTCTGAAACTTCAAATACCATAAGGCTCAGATAGTTGACTCTGGTTCTAGGAGAATTAAAAGGCTTTCCTAAGAACACAATCTATTCCAATACAAGACAAGCTAAGAGTTTTGGTCTCTTATCAGGCAGGTATCTGTAGCCCACAAGATTCAATAATTAATCTAAAGTATAAGAATAACTATTACATGCTTAGCAGGCTGGAAGACACTGATATACATTTTCTTAAAAATGTACTGAGCCTACTTTTTGACAGGTAGTACTAAAATGTATTATGTGTATTAATTCATTTACTCCTCACAGCACTCCTAAAAGGTAGGTTCTATTAATTTCCTATTTTATAGATGAAAAACATTGTGGCCCACAGAATTTAAGTGATTTGTCTAAGTCCTCCAAACTAAAAAGTGACAGAAAACAGGATCTGGGCCAAGATTTGTCTGCCCCCAGAGTCTGAGATCTTAAGCAATATACAGTCTTCTTTCTGTTTCTCTTTGTCAGGAAATCCACCAGATCAGTTATATATATGAAAAAGACTAAGAGTTTAACCCAAAGATTCTCAATGGGGGAGCTATGGTGGGGGACTGATTTTGCTACCAGGAGATATTTGGCAATGTATGGAGGCATTTTTGGTTGTCATAACTTGAGTAGGGGAGGGAGAAATTCTACTGGCATCCAGTGGATAGAAGCCAAGGACACTGCTAAACACCCTATAGTGCACAGGACAGCCTCCCACAACCAAGAACTATCCAGCCTAAAATACACATAGAGCCATTGTTGAGAAACCCTGATCTAACCACTATAAACAACGTTTATCCCGTTAAGCTAAACCTATACAAATGTAGAATCTTGTTCCAGTAATAGGATCTAGTAAAAATACCCCAATGTAAGCCAAAAGACTATGCTTCCTCCTTAAAGTGAAAAGAAGGGAAGGTAGAATATGAAGAGAATCATTTAGTGCAGTAATTCTCAACCAATTTTTCTTCCACAATACATATTTTTCACACATTCAGCAATTCCACAGGTAAATCCCAAATCTGATCACTCATTTCCACAACCACTGATTGAAAAGTGCTATTTTAGCAGATTTCTTGGGAGAGACTGTGCCCAAAGTGTTCCTCTTACTTCTACTATCCTATCTAACCATTACCCATGTGGTCACAGCTGCACAAGGTCCACAGCTTACCTTAATCATGGCGACAAATGGCATCACTTTCTTCATGTATTTCTTCAATTCTGGCAAATTGACTAGTTCACTAGCAATGACCTTGTTATCAGGCAATTTTCCACTGTTGGTCTAAAAAAAGAGTGGGAGACGAATGTGAAGAAAAATATTTTAAAGATAATATAGGATAGTAGATGTAGCCAGACATGAAATGGTGGCCTCTACCAATCTGCTAGAGAGCAGCACAAGAGGGTGCAGCCTCTAGCATCACAGGGAAGTGAAAGGTAAATGAATAATACAGAAAGGAGTCTCCTCTTTCCTCTAAATTCAAAGGACACATGTTTTTTCGGGTAAAGGAGAAGAGCATGTGCATGATGCTGAAATATTTAATTTTCCCTTACACTAATGATACCTCTAGGATTGTAACATTAGATCTTATCTAGTGATAAAATGGTCTTATAAAAATCCTATTTGTCTTCAAACTTCTCAAAGCATTTCATTAGTCATATCAAAATGAAAACTATACAACTATCATATAAGATGTATTATAATGTCTGCTTTTGAACACACTGCCTTATAAATTGTTACCACAAATGTGAAAAAAGAATCTCTAGCTATCAACCTGTTAAAAATAATATAATTTCTATCTACCAAAAATAAATATCTATATCATAAGCATTAATATGCACACAGTCCCAAATGAGCTGCCTGAATTCAAATTCACTCCTGTGAACATCAATAGAGGAGAAATAAAGTAAGCGGCCTTTCCAGACTTTTGGGTGACCTATTTTCTCCTTATTATTTTTTTTTTTTTATTTTCTCCTTATTGTAAAAGAATCACACCAAAGCCAAGGGTTGGGAATAAATCTAAAAGAAAAGTAACATACAGTAAGATTTCCAATAATCTATTTACTTTCAATTCTAACCTTTACTAGAGTACATAGGAAAAAATATTTTCTCCACTTGCCAATACGTTGCTTTGAAATACATAAGAAAAAGGAGAGGGTGGAACACACTCTTTTTTCCTTATGTCACCAAAAAGGTGCCATACTGAACATAAGAACATTCTTCTTGATTATAAACTGACATTCTTTTAGTTCTTTTGGATGAAAACAAATGAAAATTTTAAAGGAAGCTGGTCATTCCAAATAATGCCAATAGATGATGTTGATTTCAAACTATGTAATCTAGTCAATAAATATAAGTAAAAATATAACTTCTAAAAGAACAGTGGTGATTAATTTTTTAATATCTGGGACATTACATACCATATTCGGTTCTTCTGCTTCCTTGAAAATGCTGGTATGAATATATATGCCACTGACGCAAAATTTCATTTTTCTAACTACCAAAGTAGCTTTTACTCTTTTACTTACCATAAGTCAAAACTCTGCAAGCAGATTCTAAAAGCTACACTCCATTTCTATCAAACGCAATCAAAGGAAGAGGTAGTTCTCCATAAAAACAGGTTCACATATTGTAGAATACAAAAATACTTGCTCTTCTCTTTCCATTAAATCTTACAAATATAAAAGTTCTTCTGAGTATTTCTTGGTTAACCATGAAAAGTACTGAGACAAAATTCCAATAAAGGTCTAGAAAATCAAAGCTAAGGATTTTTCCTTTATATTACCACTTTATGCTTTGGCCATAATCCCTATTTGGTCTCTCTCTTTCTTTCTCTTTTTAAAGTGCGCCTTAATGGTTTCCGTCCACCAATAACTGTTGCTTATAACCTGAGCAAAAATTCTACAACATATACTTTGTTTCCATATTTTGAATGTGAAAGGAAAAAGGAAGGTGAATTTTTTTCTCTAAGAAAACCTAGAACTAAGTTTAAATATTGAGTTCCCTTTAAATACAACTATCATATTTAATAGCTATTTACCTGACAATCAAAAACACAACATCAAACTCTCCATTTCTATGGGTAATTATCAAATTGGACATTTTCTTTTAAATTACTCAAGAGCCAAGCTTCAAATTTTTTCAAACATAATAATGTTAAGGCTTCATGAATGCCAGTGTTCAAGGCACAACAAATCCAAAAGGCAAACTCAGTCCTTTTGCTTCATAATTTTAACCACACATATGAAAAAGTCCCACACCTTTTGATTACATACAACTAGATCTAGTATTTTTCTATGAAAGTTTCAGAAATGATGAAAAACAGCTTTTCCCTCGGCATCCATTTAAGAGCCACCAAGGATAACAAATGGCACTCCATGCGTAAAGGTAATTAAACAAAGCTGCCTGTCTTTCTTCCCCTAGACATTGCCAACATCCTAAAAACAAAAACAGCATAGGCAGAACACGACACTGCTGGGGTGAGGTGGGGGGGGAGTCTATTGAGAACGTCACCTCAAAGTGATGACGCAGAACTGACAGGGTGACATGTTGCCAAGACGGATAGTTCTTCGCCACATAGATGGTGCAATGTGAAGGTTTCTGAGGGAGCTGCTTGTCAGTCTTCTACAGGGCAGAAAAAACAAAAAAAACATTTAATCACTTTCATATACACCAAAAATGAAAGAACCCTCTCCCAGTATATAGCACTACTGCCTTTAACATTAAAAACTATGCATACAATAGAACTGCATTAGAAATGAAAATAGCCCTACATTAGCAATGAAAATGGCCCTAAGGAAAGTTGTCTTTATTTTCATTACTATTAAATGTTATTTGACCAATAACTTTTAAGGAATGACATTAAAAAAAAAAAGACTTCACCTTCCCTTTAGCTGGTATCATATAGTTCTTGAGTCGCAATCTAAGGTCGTGTGCTACTTCCATGAGATACTGTGAGGAGCGTATCAAGCTTTCATCCACAGGACCTGCCAGAGGCCATGAAGCATTCATAACTGAGTCGGGCTTTAAAAAAAAAAAAGGTTCAGTGAGATTAGACAACACAACTATTTTATGATTCTTGGTTACAGTTTCATACCAAGACATGGTGTGTAACTGTGTGCTCAAAGTTCAAACCTGACTACACATAACACGCGTCCACAGACCCTGATCTAATGTTCCCTAGAATTCAAGCTGTGAAGTCTGACTCTACATTCTTAATTAGCATCCATTTGTACAAGCATATTGATACCCACACACATATGCTCACTTTCAAAGAAAATTATGTAATGCTAATTTGCCTAAATTTAATCTTTGTTATATAAATTATGCATACTCTCAGTTTTTATCCTACTAATACATCCAGTACTGAAAGTATGGCTATTTGGAATATATATCATGAGCACATTTTTGCATTGTTCACACACTGAAAAATACAAAAGAGCTTGGCTAATAACGCTGGAAAGGAGTTATTAAACCAGCCAATCTGTTTATCTGTAAGCCTGGGAGAAATAAATTTATCTTCACAGTAAGAATGCTAATATAAAATCCCTGAATATGCAGCCCTATATATGCCAGGAATTTTACATAAAACAAGAATATTTATGCAAGTATATACTTCTATCTTTGTTTATAAGCAGCTCATAACAGTTATTTACATCTTTCTCAATATTTTCACCTTTCTAAACAAACAGTTGAGAAAACAGTATTAGTTATACATGTATTCAAATACATTATAACATTTCCTAATAAGAATTAGGTGATAAACAACACACACAAAGTCACATTATTAAAATATATACAATAAAAATAAATAAATTTTTTAAAAATTAAAAAAAAGGGGGGGGGGCCTCCCTGGTGGCGCAGTGGTTAAGAATCCACCTGCCAATGCAGAGGACACAGGTTTGAGCCCTGGTCTGGGAAGACCCCACATGCCACGGAGCAACTAAGCCTGTGTGCCACAACTACTGAGCCTGTGAGCCACAACTACTGAGCCCATGTGCCACTACTGAAGCCCGCGTGCCCAGAGCCCGTGCTCTGCAACGAGACAAGCCACCGCAATGAGAAGCCCACACACCGTAATGAAGGGTAGCCCCCGCTCGCCGCAACTAGAGAAAGCCCATGCACAGCAACGAAGACCCAACACAGCCAAAAATAAATAAATAAAATAAATATATTTTTAAAAAATTTTTAATAAAATAAGATAAAATATATACACCGTGTGTGTATAAATTAAGGCATATATACCCGACGTAGCTTCAATTTAAGCTGCTGTAATAATTATGAGATAATGAACCCAATATTATTCTTGAAATACTCATTTTCAGTCTTTCTCTCTTAAGTAACATTATTATCCCAACATTTATTTAATGAGGCCAAAATCAAAACCACCCAGAACATCTTAAATGCATAAAGCTACCTTTCCCAGGAGTGTCCAGATGTGCTCACACAAATGAGGACAGAATGGAGCCAAGAGAAGTGTCTGAACTTCAATAAACCGGAACACGAGGTCTCGGTGCATCCCTTCTATGGCCAATTCACGGTACTTATCTTTCGCAGCCTACAAAATTTGGAGTTATTTACCATTTCTCTCCCCCACTTCTTTAAAATAAAATTATAGGAAAAAAAACTCAGTATCTCTATTTTAATGCATTTTTAAGTATTTAGTCTTTTAAAATTCCATAATAAACTTTAGTAAAGGTTTTACTTTATTTTTAACAACCTGAAAATAAATGTGTATCAATCCTTAGGTTAAAAACAATAAATTGTTTAAATTTATACATCTTTGATAATCTTTGCTATTAAGCATTTCTTTTTAAGCACTTCTTAGCCATTTAGGGTTCTTTGGGGGGCGCTGTTTGTTCATGTCCTTTGGTAATTGTTCTTTGGACCATTAGTTATTTTTTTGATGGGCTTGTCAAAATCCTGAAATACAGACTGTAAATAATTTTCCAGTTAACTGTGTATTTTTAAGATGATTTCAGTTATGATTTTCTTATCTATGTTGGCAAATTCATCAGAACTTTTTTGGTTATTCCTTTCTTTTGTTTTTATGATTAGGAAATCTTTTTTCAATTCTAAAATCAAATAAATGTTCACTTAGCCCTGTATTTCAGATAAAAAAAACTAAATCAATCCTAACAAAAGGATAATGCAGTTTTATACTGATTCTCAAGAAAATCTGAAAAAGACATTTTGCAATGGACATAAAAGATGAACAATTTAAACTGTGTACTAAGGGTGAATGCTCAGTAGCATGTATTAATAGCATCAAAAAGGCTGTAAATATGACACACTGCTATGCTCAGCACTTATCCTTATTTAATCACATCTCTGAAAACCAAGTTACATAAATCCCAATGGGATATTTTACAAAACTGACTGAGGAAAGCTACATTTTTACTTTAAGCACTTGAACTGCCAAACTTGAGGATATGCTGACACCTTGTGGAAAATCTCAGAAAATGTTTGCTTTCAAACTAATAGCAATTAGTTACAATTATGCCTTTGTTGTTCATCAACTTTAAAATGTTTTCCTGGAAAACGTGTCTAATTTTTAGATTTAACCTCTTTATTAACCCACAGCTCAACTAGGAATAGAATTACTTACATTAAAGAGACATAATACAAAAAGTACCCAAGAAAACTATTTAAAATCACAATGTATTGAATATTTTACAAATTTTCAGTCTCCACTTAAGATGAGTTATAATGCTACAGCAGGAGGAGAAAAAACAAGAAATACATCATATTGACACTGACGTATTTTATAGCTACGAAAAGAATAGCCTACCTGAAACTCAAAAAACCCTGTTTTCAAAGCTTCTTTAAACATCATCTTTTCATAGTTTTGATCTGTTTTTATAATGCCTGCATTCATTTCACTATTGAATAGGAAAAAAAAGGTAATTGAGTTTAAAGGCAAGTACATATATATAGGTATAAAAAACTTCCACACATACTAATAAACATTAAAATGAGAACAATGCATGAAACATTTAAGACTGCTCAACCACAAAACCATCTTTGTACTCCTCAAAACTGACCACTGCAGCCTCACACTGTCTATCCACTCTTGAGTATTGTTGTAACACTACTTGGGGCTCCTGTTTATGACAACACAGTTAACCACATGCTTGTTTAAGAATTCCTTGATGGTCACCCTGATACCAAAACCAGACAAAGATACTACAAAAAAAGAAAATTACAGATTAATATCACTGATGAATATAGATGCAAAATTCCTCAACAAAATACTAGCAAACACAATCCAACAACACATTAAAAGGATCATACACTATGATCAAGTGGGATTTATCCCAGGGATGCAAGGATTCTTCAATATACGCAAATCAATGTGATACACCATATTAACAAACTGAAGAAGAAAAACCATATGATCATGTCAATAGATGCAGAAAAAGCTTTTGACAAAATTCAACACCCGTTTATGACAAAAAAACTCCAGAAAGTGGCCACAGAGGGAACCTACCTCAACATAATAAAGGCCACATATGACAAACCCACAGTCAACATCATTCTCAATGGTGAAAAACTGAAAGCATTTCCTCTAAGATCAGGAACAAGAAGACAAGGATGTCCACTCTCACCACTATTATTCAACATAGTTTTGGAAGCCCTAGCCACGGCAATCAGAGAAGAAAAAGGAATACAAATTGGAAAAGAAGAAGTAAAACTGTCACTGCTTGCAGATGACATGATACTATACATAGAGAATCCTAAAGATGCCACCAGAAAACTACTAGAGCTAATCAATGAATCTGGTAAAGTTGCAGGATACAAAATTAATGCACAGAAATCTCTTGCATTCCTATACACTAATGATGAAAAATCAGAAAGAGAAATTAAGGAAACGCTCCCATTTACCAGTGCAACAAAAACAATACAATACCTAGGAATAAACCTACCTAGGGAGACAAAAGACCTGTATGCAGAAAACTGTAAGACACTGATGAAAGAAATTAAAGAGGATACCAACTGATGGAGAGATAGACCACGTTCTTGAACTGGAGGAATCAATACTGTGAAAATGACTATACTAGCCAAAGCAATCTACAGATTCAATGCAATCTCTACCAAATTACCAAAGGCATTTTTTACAGAACTAAAACAAAAAATATTAAAATTTGTATGGAGACACAAAAGGCCCAGAATAGCCAAAGCAGTCTTGAGGGAAATAAACAGAGCTGGAGGAATCAGACTCCCTGACTTCAGACTATACTACAAAGCTACAGTAATCAAGACAATACGGTACTGGCACAAAAACAGAAACATAGATCAATGGAACAAGATAGAAAGCCCAGAGATAAACCCACACACCTATGGTCAACTAATCTATGACAAAGGAGGCAAGGATATACAATGGAGAAAAGACAGTCTCTTCAATAAGTGGTGTTGGGAAAACTGGACAGCTGCATGTAAAAGAATGAAATTAGAACACTCCCTAACAACACACACACAAATAAACTCAAAATGCATTAGAGACCTAAATGTAAGACTGGACACTACAAAACTCTTAGAGGAAAACATAGGCAGAACACTCTTTGACATAAATCACAGCAAGATCTTTTCTGATCCACCTCCTAGAGTAATGGAAATAAAAACAAAAATAAACAAATGGGACCTAATGAAACTTCAAAGCTTTTGCACAGCAAAGCAAACCATAAAGAAGACAAAAAGACAACCCTCAGGATGGGAGAAAATATTTGCAAACGAATCAATATACAAAGGATTAATCTCCAAAATATACAAACAGCTCATACAGCTCAATATTAAAAAAACAAACAACCCAATCCAAAAATGGGCAGAAGACCTAAATAGACATTTCTCCAAAGAAGACATACAGATGGCCAAGAAGCACATGAAAAGCTGCTCAACATCACTAATGATTAGAGAAAAGCAAATCAAAAGTACAATGAGGTATCACCTCACACCAGTCAGAATGGGCATCATCAGAAAATCTACAAACAACAAATGCTGGAGAGGGTGTGGAGAAAAGGGAACCGTCTTGCACTGTTGGTGGGAATGTAAATTGATACAGCCACTATGGAGAACAGTATGGAGGTTCCTTAAAAAACTAAAAATAGAATTAGCATATGATCCAGCAATCCCACTACTGGGCATATACCCAAAGAAAACCATAATTCAAAAACACACATGCACCCCAATATGTATTGCAGCACTATTTACAATAGCCAGGTCATGGAAGCAACCTAAATGCCCATCGACAGACGAATGGATAAAGAAGTTGTGGTACATATATACAATGGAATATTACTCAGCCATAAAAAGGAACGAAATTGGTTCATTTGTTGAGACGTGAATGGATCTAGAGACTGTCATACAGAGTGAAGTTAAGTCAGAAAGAGAAAAATAAATATCGTATATTAACACATATATGTGGAGCCTAGAAAAATGGTACAGATGAACCAGTTTGCAGGGCAGAAGTTGAGACACAGATGTAGAGAACAAATGTATGGACACCAAGGAGGAAAGTGGCGGGGATGGGGTGGTGGTGTGCTGACCTGGGAGATTGGGATTGACATGTATACACTGATGTGTATAAAATTGATGACTATTAAGAACCTGCTATATAAAAAAATAAATAAAATAAAATTTAAAAAACAAACAAAAAAATTCCTTGATGGAAACTTTATTAAGAAGCCCAAAATGCAACATGAAAATAGCTTTACTAAGGCTGTAGTCAGGTTTAATTGTTGCATTTTAAACAACTGACATTGGATTAAATATATATTCCTTACACTACCTCAGGCCCTTCATAATTTGGCCTAATATGGCCCCAACTTGTTTGATCTCCTACTTCTGCCCTCCACATACTGTACACTTCAAATAAATACCATACTCTTTCCATGGCTTTCTCCTCTCCTTCAAAAATTAGGTTTACTTTTCAAGAAACCCAGAACTCACATGCCATCTCCTCTAATTTCCCTCTATCCCTACTATTGCACTTATAATTGGTTGGGTAAGTGTTTTTCTCTCCTGCTAGACTACAATGAAGGATCAAGTCTTATTCATCTTTGTAATACCAGTGCTTCGGATGTTTCTGATACAAAAAGACTGATAAATGTTTTTTGAAGGAAAAATGAAAAGACAATTCTTTTCCTTTAACCTGCTTTTCCTTTAACCATTCCACCCTCCTCTAATGCAAGACAGCATGGTAAAATGGTCATGAGAATGGGCTTTGGAGACAGAAACAAATTCATATCCCAAGTCTGAAATTACCAGCTTTGAGACATTTAATGAAATACTTAATTTTTCTAAGCTTCAATTTCTTTAACTATAAAATAGAGCTAATAATATCTTTATCATATAAAATTGCTAGAAGGCTAAAATCAGATAATGGATGCAAAGTAATTAGCATAGTACCTGGCACAAGTAAGCTTTCAGTGAATAGTAGTTATTATTAACATCTAATTTATTTAATGAGGAAAAAAAAGAAAACTTAAAAATACAGCAGGACTAAGCAACTCTAAAGTACAAAGTGGTTGAGGTCCATAGATTACCTGGCGAAAACTCTATCATTGAAGGTGTTGGCAGGACCACTTCTTAGGCTATCCCAGTTGGCAACCATTTCTTTCACCCATTCCACCCAGGTGTACAGACGGAGAATACCTGCATCTGCCATGGTTTCCACAAAGTTAGCATCTTCAACAGTGTCACCAGCATCAGCTAGAGCCAAGCGCATTCCTGGAAGAAGAAAAAAAAAATCAATCGATGATTTAAAAATGAGGTTACTGCATATCAACTACGTATCCAGTTGAGTACACTGCCAAGCCTACATATAAATTAAGAAATAACAAACGCTTTAAAGGACTGCATATATCAACAGCAAAAATAAAGATCACCAAAAGTAGAATCCATAATGATGTTGCTAAAATATTTGAATTTTCTCTATTGATTTGCATACACTTAGCATCAATATGTGTTTCTTCTCAGGCATGTTGAGTTAATGAGATAAAGTGATCTTTAATGAGGCAGAGGGAAAAAATGCTAAACTGGGGAAAGATATCCCTATCAACATCTCAGCCTCATTTATAGGTAGCAAAATATTATTGTATTTTAATGCATTAAGAACACACAGAAGTGGGCTCCCCTGGTGGCGCAGTGGCTGAGAGTCCACCTGCCGATGCAGGGGACACGGGTTCGTGCCCCAGACCAGGAAGATCCCACATGCCGCAGAGCGGCTGGGCCTGTGAGCCATGGCTGCTGAGCCTGCGCGTCCGGAGCCTGTGCTCCGCAACAGGAGAGGCCACAACAGTGAGAGGCCTGCGTACCACACACAAAAAAAAAGAACACACAGAAGTGCCTTATGTGCAAAAATACAGATTTTCTTAGTCCTAAAAGCAGATTCTTCCAACTTTCCTACAAACGAAATACGACTTTTCAACCAAAATCTTCCATTCTAAAATATTGAAAAAATCATCAATAAGAGTCTAAGTAAATTACAGGACATCCTTACAATGGAAGACTATATTGCTGTAAAAGAGTGAGGTAACTCTTGTGTATCAACATGAAGTGATCTCAAATATGAACTAAGTGAAGAAGGCAAATTTCAAAACAGTATGTAGGGTATATGCTACCATCTGCGCCTTAAAGGAGGAGATGAGAATATGTAACATCAAGTTATGTATGCATTAAACATCTTTTACAATACACAAGAAGCTGAACACATTTTTTTAACTTTTTATATTGAAATAATTTTACAGTTACAGAAAAGATGCCAAAGATGAGAATAAACATATACCATTTACCAGACTCTCTTAATGTTAACAGCTTACATAACCAGTTTCAAAAGCAGGAAGTTAACATTAGTATGATACTATTAACTGAACTACAGACTTTATTCAAATTTCACCAGTGCTTCCTCTCATATCCTTCTCTGTTCTAGGATCCAATCCAGAATCCCACCTTGCATTTGACTGTCGTATCTCCTTGGTCTCTTCAAATCTGTGACAGTTTCTCAGTCTGTCCTGGACCTTGACTTCTGATGAACAGTAGTCAGGTATTTAATAGAATTTCTCCCAACTTGGGTTTGTCTGATGTTTTCTCATGATTAAACTGATGTTATGAACCTCTGGCAAGAATATCACAAAAGTGATGCTGTGTGCCTTTCTCAGTGCATCATTATCAGGGAGGTAGGTAATGAGGAAAAAAAAGAAAACTTAAAAATACACCAGGACTAAGCAACTCTAAAGTGCAAACCTTCCTCACTTGGTCAGGTAGACTGCCTGCCAAGTTTCTCCACTGTAAAGTTACTGTTTTTCCCTTTGTGATTAAGAAATATCTTGGGAGAGATACTCTGAGAATATGCAAATAATCTTTTTTTTTTTTTAACTTTCACCCATTCATTTTGGCAACCACTGATGGATCTTGTCTGTGACAATATTACTATGATGTTTGTCTAATGGTGATTTTATATTTCACTCGGTCCTTCTACTTTATTACTTGGAATTCTTCTGAAAGGAAGAACAGTCCCTACTCCACTTATTTATTTATTCAATTATTACTATACATTCATATGGATTCACAAATATTTAATTTATTCACTGGGTTATAATTCAATACAATCATTATTTACTTTGTTTCCTAAACTGCTCTAGCGTGGACAATTGGGAGCCCCATCAGGTTGGCTCCTGTGCCCTTTCAAACTGTCTCCATCCTTTTTTAAACATTTCCTTACTTTCTGGCATCATAAAATGTTCCATGCTCATCTTGTATGTTCCCTACTCCAGCCCTCAAATCAACCCTTCTCCTAGGAACCCTAGTTCCTTTTATTGGAGAATGGTATTTGGAAACCAAGATCTGAATGCCAGGTGTGTCATTACCCATGGGCTCTCTCAGCAGAAAGAACTAGGAAAATAAATGCATGTATACTAACCCACACATAAATCTATGTTTATTTTTATATCTGTCTGTATGTAAAATAAAACCTGTGAGTTCATACTGATGTTGCCAATTCCAATCCAACACCACAGGGTTCATTCTAGCATTTCCTCTTGACCTATTTATAGCTTCTGACAATGAGCTCTCATCTATAATATATTTATTTGTTAAATCCCAGTAAACCCATAAAAGTTTCAGAATTGCTAATCTACACCTCTTTAAAAGAAAATAACTACAGTATTTCTGCACAGTTCTTTTTGCCTTACTGTGTTCAGTCAAAATACTGTTTTTCTAAGTAACTTAGGTTTGTTCTTCCCCATCCCCTTCAGTGCACTCTCAAACTATAGTAGCCATGATCAGCAAATGATCAGCCATGATGACCAAAGACTGGATTACATAAGAAATGACTGGTTCTTTCAGGTTAGACAGTGCATTTCTTCTCTTGACAAAGTAACAGTTAAATGGAAGAGTAATGAGGCCAGAGAAAACATATTTTTTGAAGAAATGAATGCTTCTAGGTTCAAGTCACTTATATGTATACCAAATATGGAGGAAATACTTTGAAAAAGGTTCCTACATACTTAAGATCTCTACAAACCAACTATTTTTTTTTCTTTAAGATTTTTTTTTTTTGATGTGGACCATTTTTAAAGTCTTTATTGAATTTTTACAATGTTGCTTCTCTTCTATGTTTTGGTTTTTTGGCCGCAAGGCATGTGGGATCTTAGCTCCCCAACCAGGGATCGAACCCACACCCCCTGCATTGGAAGGCGAAGTCCTAACCACTGGACCTCCAGGGAAGTCCCCCTACAAACCAACTCTTTAATCTTAGAAGTAGCATGAAATTAGGAACAAACCAGGTAGCACTTACAGTGAGTTTCCTTTGAAAGAAGACTAATAATCTTAGCTTAAATCTGTTCCTAAACAGATCAGATCAGCAATTCTTATGTTTTAAAAATTACGTTCCTGTACACAGAGAAAACATGAATATTTTAAAGTATTGGTAAAAGCGAAAGAGAAAAGCAATGCAATTGAAACAACAATGCTAACTTGCCTTCTGTAAACTGAGGGGAACTGGGCACTATGCAACAGCAATAACAAAAAAGCATACTCACCATCGGCTGAATATTTGTCAAGCGCTTGGGTCAAAGTGAGGAAGTTGCCTGTGGATTTTGACATCTGAAAGAGAAAGTCAATGATCAGGCATTAGTAAGAGTATATATAAATAAAATAAACCAAATCAGCCACATCAAATTAAATGGGTTGGCCACAATCAGATAAAAACCAAAAGGATCAGAAGCATGGAAAGGAAAAGATACCTTATACTAACTTTACAGAGGAGAAAACTGAAGTGACTTGTCTGAGTCACTAATCTAGTCAGTGACAAAGCTAGGACAGCATCTCCAGTCTGATACTCAGTCCACGGCTCTTTCCATTAACCAATACTGTCCCTTAGGAATTGGTTTACACACATGGATGATTCTACTATAACTCTGGAATACTTCAGCTGGTCATAAAGAAGAGCTTTAGGGCTTCCCTGGTGGTGCAGTGGTTAAGAATCCACCTGCCAATGCAGGGGATATAGGTTCGAGCCCTGGTCCAGGAAGATTCCCACATGCCGCAGAGCAACTAAGCCCGTGTGCCACAACTACGGAGCCCGCGCACCTAGAGCCCGTACTCCACAACAAGAGAAGCCACTGCAATGAGAAGCTTGCGCCTCAACCAAGAGTTGCTGCAACTAGAGAAAGCCCCACTTGCTATAACTAGAGAAAGTCCGCGCACAGCAACGAAGACCAAACGCAGCCAAAATAAATAAATGAAAGAAAAATTAAAAAAAAAAAAACACAGAAGAGCTTTATAGCAATTAGAGTCATTCAGTAATGAATGGACAAGCTCATGAGGTCAAAATTAGGGTTTTAGGGAACCTCCTGTCATTAGGGTCACAACTGGCTACTCAAGCTGTGCTCTGCCTGAAGGCAGCACAACTAAGAAGGAACTGTGCCCAGCCTAGCAATCTTTACTATTTAAAAAATGTTTATGTTTTTGTAACTTTGCTGATACCAAAGAGAGGTGGTCATTCTATCAATTTTCTACTATATGGCAGTAAAATATTTTGTTCTAATAAAATGAGTATAATGTACATATAGCACAACAATGTGGAGACCAAAGGAAATGTCATGTTATAACAGGATTCCTATTTATATACTCACATATACATACACCCATATACACACATACATATAAATACATATATGGTTCACTTTGACCTACAAAGAACAAATGAGTTTGATAATCAAAAGTCCTTGTTGGGGCTCCCCTGGTGGCACAGTGGTTGAGAGTCTGCCTGCTGATGCAGGAGACATGGGTTCGTGCCCCGGTCCGGGAAAATCCCACATGCCGTGGAGCGGCTGGGTCTGTGAGCCATGGCCGCTGAGCCTGCACGTCCGGAGCCTGTGCTCCGCAACGGGAGAGGCCACAACAGTGAGAGGCCCGAAGTCCTTGTTGATTTAACAAAATCTATAAAATAGCTATTTTTCATCCTAATGTACAGATTACCTTACATGAACTTTTTTATTCCCTTTCAATATTAGGACACTGGTAAAAAATAACATCTCATTTTGCAATTCATATCATCTGCTATGTTTAAATCTATAACTATTTTCATTATGACATACCTATAGCAATGAATATTCTTTTACCATTAATATTCCATCAGATGTAGCAAGATTCACTGGTTGGAACAAATCCAACTTGTTGAAATTGTTATTAATGAGAAATAAATAATATTGTAAGAGAAACAAATAATATTGTAACTTAATTTTTTTTGCTTAGTTGAGGAAGGGTGCCCCTTTCTAATGTACACAAAAGCATCATGGGGCAAACAAGGGCTTGTCAAGAGGTTGGCATAGCTCCTGGTGAGGATATTGAATAATTAGGTGAAGTCTTATGTAGCATAAAAAAAATCATATATTGAATATATTAGTAGTGGTAATGAAAAAGGGAAGTTGCAGTAGTATGGGGAGAGAGATACCATCTGGAAAGAAGCATTAAATGACATTTTAAAATCCTATAAACTCCAAAATTCTATTATTCTAATTTAGTGGCCAGTCACAGTATAAAGCAAAAACCACCAAATTATTTTCTCAACTTAATGAGAAAGATATTGTTGGGTCACAATGCTAGGATCTTTACATTTCCTGTCCCTTTCTCTCTCTCCTCCCGTAAAAATTTGTGTCACCCTTTGCCACTCTAATACAAATGTTATAATAGGGAAGTTTTCCCCATCCCGCCTCTCAATTAATACTATCTACTCCACCCACTCAATTTTAAAATAAACTTCTCATTTACGCTGGTAGTCCTAAACATTTTAAATGGAAGATATTTAACTCTCTGATTTTCACATTCTTTATTTCTTTAAAAAGTACAACATCCTAAATCTGAAAAACTTTTTGTAGCATTTTAACCTTTCAAGAGGCAATGAGCCTTACCTTCTCAGAGTTGAGGAGGAGATGTCCATTTGCTCTCACAGCTACAGGCCATTTATCACTTGACAGGAAAATGTTTAAAGATAGAAAATAAAACTTAAAGATTATGGTTTAGGCTTAAAAATTTGAGGTAAATGCTAAAAGATTCATAAAAGATTGCTAAGGCAAATGTGCAGGGATATTAATTGAGTCCTGTTCATAACAGGAAACCAATGAAAACAAGGAAAGTAGCCATTAGTAAAGGACTGGTTATATTGATATAAACTATGGTACAGGAATACAATGAAATACTACGTAACTATTTTTAAAATACAGGCACAGCTATATATATAAAAATAAAAAGATCTTAGAAATATACTATTACAAGGAAAAAACAGACAGAATACTGTCTATAATGTGGCATCTTTGTATAAATTAAAAAATAAACAAGTATAGATATCTGCTGCTGGTATATGCATACATACATTTTCCAGAAGAAATCACAAGAAAGCAGTAGCAGTGATGAGCTTTGGGAAATAGGCTAATATAGGGAAAAGGGTGAAAGTTCACTTTTAACTTTGTACCTTTATGAGCTGTTTGAATTTTCAAACTATGTACATATCATTCATTCATTCTAACAATGAGATCATGTAGAGGGTAATGTTAAGAGCAAGAGTTCTGGAGCCAGACTGCTGGGTTCTGCATCCTGGTTCTGCCATTGCTGGGTAACTCTGGGTGAGTCATTTTGAGCTCTCTATGCCTCACGAAGGTTCCTTGTCCGTAAAAACGAGGATATTACAGACCTTCCCCGAAAAGTTGTAGTGAAAACTACACGAGTTACTAAAAGTGATTAGAAGAGTGTCTGACAAAAGCACTTGAAGCTACTACTTATCTTTAATTTTTAAAACCCTAATACATGTCCAAAACTTGATGCAAGGGGATAAATATTCAACTATACTACTAACAAGTACTTCTGAGACACCTGATATCTCCAAAAACACATTTTAACCAATAGAGAAAAATAACTGGATGACAAGAACCACATCGTATTTATTTTATTCCTCTCCTTCAAAATCTCCCTTTTATTCTTGAGAAAGAAAATGTAATCTCATTCTAAATGCAATCTCATCCTAAATACAAAAAGTCCCATGAGATTGCTTTGGTTTTACAAAATAAAATTTGAACAGTGGAAGGGGTTTGTTTCTTCAGCTACTTGAGGACAGGAGGAAAAGGCACAGAGACATGTCTAGATCAAGAGGGAAGATGATAGAAGGATTACTCTTGAGCACATGGTATTAAAAAACGCATCTTTGACCCAGATTCTAGTCAGAACATCACTACTTAATGCTGGAACCTTGGGGCTCTCAGCTCTAAAGGGATGTTTCCTTCCCATTCTAATGTCCTAGGCTCTGTCTGAAATCGCCTTTATTCCAGCATCTTACAGGTCAAATGAGTCATGTAACAGGTCAAGGGAATTACTGACAGAGTACCTGAAATGTGACATGCTTTGGTGGCCCAAGGTAGGTATGAAGATTTCTGGATATAACAGATAGGAGGAGGTGTGCTTTCTCCTTCAGTACATTTAATATAAGAAAAAGAATGTAACTGTTAAATCTAACTATACCCCCCCCCAATAACATCTATATATTTGAAGCCAAAAGGCACCCTTGTCAATAATCAATAAATTTAGTCTGCATCTTTTTTAGCACTCACCTTTCTTCTGGCCACATAGCCACATGATTATAAAGGAAATATGAAAGATGATTTGGAATAAGATCCTTGCCAGAGGCTCGAAGATCCACAGGATACCAGAACTCAAATTCCTGCTTTAACTGATCTAATTTTTCCTTTGGAATCTGAGTTTTAGGAAATGGAGCCTCCTTGAAGAAAACATAATCCCAAACTTCCTTGGTCATCTGCTGTGGTCTGTATTAAAATAAAAGAAACAAACAAACAACAACAACAATATATATATATATAATTTCTTTGAAAGAATCAGCATTCTAATCCAACCATGAAGTAGAAAATACTTTCTTAATGTTTTACAGTAACAAATGAGGACAACAGACTCCCATAAGAATGAAGAATGGATAACAGAGAAGGGGCTATTTATTACTTTCTTTCTCAGTTCAATGCAAAAAAAGCAAAAACATCATGACAAAATTCCACTAAATGAATTCTTATAAAAACTAATTATTAGAAAGAATTTTCTGGCTTCCCTGGTGGCGCAGTGGTTAAGAGTCCGCCTGCCAAAGCAGGGGACACGGGTTTGAGCCCTGGTCCAGGAAGATCCCACGTGCCACAGAACAACTAAGCCCGTGAGCCACAACTACTGAACCTGTGCTCTAGAGCCCGTGAGCCACAACTACTGAAGCCCGTGCGCCTAGAGCCCATGCTCCGCAAAAAGAGAAGCCACCGCAATGAGAAGCCTGCGCAATGCAATGAAGAGCAGCTCCCGCTCACCACAACTAGAGAAAGCCCAAGTGCAGCAACAAAGACCCAACACAGCCAAAAATAAATAAAAATAAAATAAATTTTTTAAAAAAAAGAAAGAATTTTCAATACATAAATCAAAAGATCACCTCATGCTAACAAATTACATTCCTTCCCCTTATCCATTTACCAACCTGATGCCCAGTGGAGACTCTGTCTGTCCACGCAAGTTACCTCCCTGCAACAGATGTGCAACTGTGTAAAATGCCATGTAAATAGTGGAGTCAGAGAGTGATTCAATCAGCCACTGCTCATCCCACGGCAGACGAGTACCTGTGAGATAAAAAGAAGATAATTAATGCATGAGGAACCTAAGAGACACTTCATCTACAAAATTCACATTTTTAAGAGCAGGTCTATAGCACTGACAAAGCTACTTATTTAGGTTCTTAAATTTACTTGAATAATTAATATAAATAAACCAGTAAATTAAAAAAACAAAATGGTTGAAGCACTAGAAACTTTCTATTAAAAAAAAACTGCATCATAAAACCTATATGGGGGCTTCCCTGGTGGCGGAGTGGTTGAGAGTCCGCCTGCCGATGCAGGGGACACAGGTTCGTGCCCTGGTCTGGGAAGATCCCACATGCCGCGGAGCGGCTGGGCCCGTGAGCCATGGCCGCTGAGCCTGCGAGTCCGGAGCCTGTGCTCCACAACGGGAGAGGCCACAATAGTGAGAGGCCCGCGTACCGCAGAAAAAAAAAAAAAAAAAAAAAAAGCTACATGGGCATTAGATACTTCTACCACCAGGTAGATGGTAAGGGACCACATCCTAGTTTCCTTCACCCTCTAACCAAAACCTCTCACTTCCAATTCAGAAACACACTGGAAGACAAGAAAAAAAGGTGAAGTTTTAATTTGCTGTGTAACTGGCAAAGTCATTCAAACAGAAAATTTTGAAGTTTGCTTACCTAAGCCGTAAGTTCTTGAGCAAGCATGCTCTTGCAGCCAATCTAAGGTAGCTTCAAAATTCCTCCTGGTCTCCTCACAGAACCTGGAGAGAGTAGAAGATAAAGTATCTCTCTTCACCTTCATTGTCTTCCATGTTTCTCATCTCCTTCCCTATCACTTTCTCCCATCTTACGTTTCCAGGTTCTTCAAGCACTGGGATGTCTGTTTTTTCCAGTTCTCTTCTCCATAATCCAAGTACCTGGGGGTGGACGAATTGATTAAAAAAAAGAAATCAAGGATAAGCAAAGTGACAGGAGGAAATTTCTTCTTGCTATAAGAAAAACTAACCACTGGTCACACAGGGCCACGACGCATTCATCTGAAGACCTGGACATAACTTGTTTCTCTGGTTCCATGTAAATATATGCATCTCCCTAAACGAAAGTAAATAAAAATATATCAGATATTATGTCAAGGCAATCTCTACTCCTCAAGGAAAAGAAAAGTAACATTTTAGAAAAAAAAAAATGCTCTACCACCCATAACCAAAACCCCAGGTTTTCATTATGTCTTCCCTCTTCCCAGGGTAGAAGTTATCTGCTTTTCTTTCTGTATAACACTTGCTTCTGAAAAGGCATGCACCTTCATCAAATGGATCACCTTCTCTAGGTACAGCTTAATCCTTTTCAGAGTGAAAGATGTTTAACAGTTTCTAATGCTATGGTTTGAAGGTTAGGCTGCCTATGGCAGCCTTTTATTCTTGTTAAAATATAAAGAGGAGGATATGGGGAGGGGAAAGGGTGAGCTGTGACAAAGCGAGAGAGAGGCATGGACATATATACACTACCAAACATAAGGTAGATAGCTAGTGGGAAGCAGCCACATAGCACAGGGAGGTCAGCTCGGTACTTTGTGACCGCCTGGAGGGGTGGGAAGGGAGGGTGGGAGGGATGGAGATGCAAGAGATATGGGAACATATGTATATGTATAACTGATTCACTTTGTTATAAAGCAGAAACTATCACACCATTGTCAAGCAATTATACCCCAATAAAGATGTTAAAAAAATATATATATATATATAAAGAAAATAGATGCACAGAACCACTGCCTTTAAAAAAAAAGAGATGCACGAAAATTAAACACAGAAAATACTTTTACTAAAGATTTATAGCATCATGAAAAATTCCCACTAGAAAACTGACCGTAAATTTTACTTTTAGAAAAAAATGCAAATATCTTTTAATGTATTATAATCCCAAACTTACTAAGCTAGGATAATTTTTAAAAATAAAATTCAGCATTATTATTCAAAAAATGATTCATTGCTCTGTGTTCTTAATGCAAGTTCTTCACACTGAACTTAAATAGGTAGGACTTTGGTTTAAAGATGGTAAATTAAAAACAATTAACTCTGCTCCCTCTCAAAATTCTAACAAAATAACAAAGAGGCTTTTTTTGTCTTAATGGTATGAAGCTACAAAGACAACAAGAATGGGAGAAGAAATAATATCAACCAAATTTTGGAAACTAAAAAGCAGAATGAGTGACAATTGTATTAGCAGATCAAAGGAAGCTAGCTGAATCCTAAGCCGACAGAAGAGAAGGCTGAAAAGCAATTCAGTTTGCATTACAGAACCTCCAAAAAGACTCAGGATTTGTGGCACAAGATAGTTCTGGAAGAGGAGGTAACATGAGACTGGAAACAGGGGGACTAACTGAAGTCTTTTCAAGAAATTAGAACCCCAGACACCCTAATCCCACACCATGCAGACAGGCAACTGCCCCTTCCTATGCCAGCAGAACAGTGAAGGTTTACTCTCTGGAGAGGACAAAAGAGAGTCAACCAGAGGACGAAGTTGAGGGTATGGGTATCATAGTGAAAAAGAGGGATTAAGTGAAAGTCAGCACACTGGGTGTTGGAACCCAACCTAGTAATCTTCCACCATTTAGCTCCCAGAATGCTCAGTTAGTTTAGACCCTTTAAACCAGAAACTGAAGAATCTTCTGAGGGGACTCTAACAAACCAAGAAGTCCTAATTAACATCAAGGCTAACATCAGGGTCTCCCTAAGGTCCAAATGGACCTTCCAGATCTCTCCCAGTGAAGCCCAGAGACCAGCCCTACCCATATCCAAAAAGGTTCCAATCATCTTTTTGTACCCACTCTTAAATATCAATAGTCTTCCTCAGATTAATAAGAGATTAAAGTTTCATACCCCTGAAACAAGAATAGCGGCATCCTATAAAAAAAGGATCAGATAACAAGAATAAGCTCTTAAACTGGCTCTGAGTTGGTAAATGCTGAAGCTGGGTAAAAGGTACACAAGAATTCATTATACTACTCCATTTTTTCATAAATTTGAAATTTTCCACACAAAGAAAAAAATTTTAATGAATTCTTAGAAACATTTATTTATACACACACACACACAAGCACACAAGTAGCAGACATAAAAAACACAGAAGGGCTTCCCTGGTGGCACAGTGGTTGAGAGTCCACCTATCGATGCAGGGGACACGGGTTTGTGCCCCGGTCCAGGAAGATCCCACATGCCGCGGAGTGGCTGGGCCCGTGAGCCATGGCCGCTGAGCCTCCGCGTCCGGAGCCTGTGCTCCGCAATGGGAGAGGCCACAACAGTGAGAGGCCCGCGTACCGCAAAAAAAAAAAAAAAACAGTAAACGAACGAACAAAAACTCATAGGAAGAAAAAGGTGAGGGACTCCCCCAGATAGAAGAGCAAAAGAACTTTCAGAGTCTAAGAGATCCAATATCTGAATAATAAGAATTCAGAGAGCAAAAATAAAGAATGGAAAGGGATAAAATAATTAAACAAAAAAGTCAAGAAATTTTCCCAAAATTGGAGAACATAAGTTTCCAGATTGAAGGAGCCCAGCATACAGCCAGAAGAATGAATGAAAACTGACCTACACCAAAATAAATCTTCATGAAATTTCAAAATACTGGAAGAAAAGAGAAGATTCTATAAGCTTTGGCATGGTGGGGGGCAGTGCAGGGAACAGTGGAGACACAGGTCACTTATAAAAGATCCATTATTACCAGAATGGTTTTGGACTTCTCAACAGCATCACTGAACCAGAACACCATGGGTAATGGCCTTCAAATTTTTAAGGGAAAATTATTTCCAACCCAGAATCCTACACTCAGGCATTCAAGTATGAGGACAGAATAAAGATACTTCAGACATGGAAGCTCACAAAAATTTACCTTCCAGGCACTGTTTTTCAGGAACACTACTAGAGGCAGAGCATCACCAAAACAAGAAAGTAAATAAGAAAGAAGAAGCCATGGGAGCAAGGAAACAGCAGATCCAACTCAAGAGAAGCAAAGGAAATCCTAAGTAATGGTGGAGGAACATCCCAGATGACATCTGTGCACACCTACAGTAAGCAAACGGTGTGGATAATTACAACACGCCAGAAGGCTCTAGGAGAACTTTCTCTAAGATGTAAACAACAGCATACTCATGTGTCTGAAGGTACTGAGAGGAGAAATAAACAGTTGGGACAGAGTTTGGGGATGAAGTATTGATAACTGTATTTAAAAGTAAGAAAAGTGGGGGGAAAAAAGGGCAGTTATTAACTCTAGGGAAAACCAAAAGCTAGGGAAGAGAAGTTCTCATTGTATACTACATTATGGATCAGCCACGTCTCAAAAACGTACACACTGACTACTGCTCTAACATAAATTATAACATACCTATACTAGGAAGATGGGGGGTGGAGAAGTGTATACAAATGCGAGGTTAGAGAGGAAGCCACAGGTTGGAGAAGAGTTAAATCTTGATCTTCCACAGTAGGAAGTCTATGGCTGATGGCTAAAATTGAAAAATTTTTAAATTACACTACAAGTATTTAGATTAGAGATCTATAAGAGAGGCAGAGGTCAATACTAAAAGAAATAACTAAAAGAGATGCAAGTAAGCCTGTCCAAGGAAGAGAAATTTAAGAGAATGTGGAAGGATGGAGAGGAAATTGCTGCTTTTTTTATTTTAATAAGACTTACAGATCATTGTCTCTCTGTATTATGGGTATACACAACTGTCAAAGATAAAAATTCAATTTCAAAAGTTAAGTAACTCAACAGAAAACAGTTACAACAAAAATGAAGAGGGGAAAAAGGATTAAAGTATAAAGTACTACATAAAGAACTATCAACTACCAGTACCTCGAATAGTTACTGCCAGGAAGCATCACTAAAGTTCTCTGTGCGTGATTTGTACATGCCAACTTTAGAACACTATATTCATCAACATTACAGGTGGGATGTTCAAGTTAAATGAATTGCTAAATAGGTCTCCAGTTTTATATATAAATAAAATTATATCTTTAATATAGCTCCAGGTTCTACTACAGAACTCACTGCTAAGTAACACTGTAAAGTCTATTAACTGAAAGCTCTTCTCCTAACACAGCCTTCAGAGGATAGCCTATTACATACAGTGTCAATCATCTTGTTTTTAATAGTCTTCTTTACATCTTGGACCTTCTGTCCCTTAAATCCATCCACCAACATTACCTAAAAGGATGAGAAGTAGGGAAAAAGCACATACAATTAAAATTTGCTTTGGGTGCCCCCCCTAGAACTTTCCCTAACTAAATTTACTTGCACACACAACCAAAATATTTTTAGTGCGAAATTTATCACATTTAGAACCATAAATTTTTATTTTGGCACAGCTTGGACAGCTAATATTTACAACACACTTGTTTTTCTTTCAGTATAACTAGGATAAGTATTATGAACACGATTAGAAAGAAATGCTCACTTCCTTCCCACTTCTCAGGTTTCCATGTGAAGAGAATTCCTCTACCCTAACTCACATCATTCCTGAAGGCTTTAGGAGAAGGAACTGAGCAAATGCAGCTCGGCCCCACTTAGGTTTCTCTTTACAACTCTGCCTGTTGCCAGCAAGCATTCTCCTTTGCTTGCCCATGTGATAAACTTGGCTCTTAGAGGAAGGCCTACTGTTTTTCAACTCTGCCTTTTACGTAGCGGGGAGACTTAATTCTAGGGCAAAGTAATGACTTGCCCATTGCTGTCACAGAGCAAAGCCACAATCCCCTTCCAGCTGTTACTCTGACCTCCATCTATCTGACTCCTGTTGACTCTCTCAAATACTTTTTTTTTTTTTTTTTTTTTGCCATTGGGCCCTCAGCAATGAGAGTGCAGAGTCCTAACCACTGGACCACCAGGGCATTCTTAATAGTTTCTATCTTAAGTGGAAAAGACACATGTTCTTTTTTCTGCCCCAGTTCTCTAACGTACCAAGATGCTTCATATCTACTTAATTCATCATTATGAAATTATAGTTATAGATCATTATGGCACAGGGGTTAAAAGCACAAATCTTAGAGCCAAGATGCCTAGTTTGAGTCCCAGTTCTGCCTCTGCCTGGCTATCTGGCTGATCTTAGGTAAATTACTTAATCTCTTAGTGCCTCAATTTCCTCACCTATAAATTGGGAATAAGTGCCACTTCACAAGGTTATTTTGAGATATAAGTAAGTTAATATATAAATGCTCTATAAGTGTTGGCTTTTACTGTCATCCAAAACGTGTAAGTTACTTTTAAAAAGGACATACAACCAATTCTTGGTTATCCAGAGAGATGAAAGTAAAGGTAAAAATAAAGAACATTCTCACTTACAGCCTTAAAAATCTTCATTTCAACCTCAAGTCACTAGCAACTTGACTTGAGTTTTTACTTTCTCTAGCCTCATCTTCTTTCCATGGAAATGTAAGTCATGTTAACATATGCACAATTGAGGAGAAAAGAGAGGTTCACAACTTGTCTGTTGTGCTAACATGGCATGGAATAGGCATTAACAAGTAAATTAATGAACTGAATGAAACTGCTTATTTAAAATATGAACTCCACAATTAAGAGAGCAAAAGAAGGGACCAGGTATGGTCCATGCAATAAACTTTTGGAATTTATTGTAAAATAATATGAACTAACTTTATCTTCTCAAGAAATTCACTCAGAGATTAGAGGGCACAAAAATGGAATTTCCGTAAATACTATTGGACCAAAATAGATTTAAAAAATAAATTTGGAAATAGAAGAACACAATCTTATAGTAATCCTTTCTCAAAACAGGATAGAGCTTAAACAATATTGAATTTTTCTATAGTTTTTTTCTAAACCACTAAGAAGAAAATCACAGAGCATGGAGTAAGTAAATCAAATAAAAATGATAACAAAATTATTACTTACACCATCATAAAAGCCTCTTAGGTATAATTTCTCCTTTGCTTCTGCAAGTTTTTCTCGGTCATTCTGGCTCTGAACTTTCAACTCATCACACATGGTTACAGCAGAAAGCTGTCCACAACCTGGAATTTCAATGACTGGCACCTGCAAAAAAGAGCAATGTCAGAACTTATTCACATTGAATAAACACGAAAACAGCCCTAAAGGCATAGTCCTTTTGCCTCTACTGTCCAATGAAGTCACTTCAGATCTTATATATCACTAGGGCAGTGTCACACATTAGGGACTAACATCCAGATGTGAATGTGTCTTCCTACTCTCCATAGGAACCCCCCGAATTCTCTGCACCAACCCCCGCACTGTCCCTCCCTCACTACATACACAACTTCCCCAGCTCTCAACCCCACACTGGCACATAATTAACTAAATAATGTTGAAACTAGCAAAACGCTGTAAACAACTAAATTTATGGATGGTCTTATTTCTGGTTTATATTAAGTCTTCTGGATTCTTCATGAAATTATTCACTAGTAATTTAATTTTTTTTTTCTTCTGCAGATACTAATATGAAAACATAAACAGTCATGAGTAATATGGCAAAATTTTGTCTTTAGAAGCCTGGAAATTGGCTACACTAGAAAATAAGCTACTATAAAATTGGTAATGCTAAAAGGCTATTTGTTTGTTTCAGAATTACAGGTGCCAGGTGCTAAGAAAATGCCTATTGCTGGTTTTTCTTTTGCTCTTATCCACCACAGCAGGTATCATGTTAAAGCAAACAAACTCTTAAACTCCCTCTTATTTCATACTCTACCAATTATGTAATTCTGTGACAAGTAAAGTGCTAGCTGCTCTTTGTTCTCTAATAAAGAAATGGATACTAATATTCTGAACCATCTATGTACTCACAGGCTCAAATGGCAAGACCATGTCATCTCTAATTCCATATTTTGCTCGTAAAGCCTACAAAAAAATTGGAAGTTAATATTAATGATCAATAGTTCACTGGTGCAATAAGTCCCCTACATACGAACGAGTTCCGTTCCCAGAGCACATTCATAAGTCCAATTTGTTCATAAGTCCAATTTGCTCGTAAGTCCAACAAAGTTACCCTAGGTACCCAACTAACACAATCAGCTATATAGTACTGTACTGTAACAGGTTTATAATACTTTTCACACAAATAATACATACAAGACGAACAAACACAAAAAATAAAGAAAATATTTTTAATCTTACAGTACAGTACCTTGAAAAGTATATTACAATAGTACTGTACAACAGCTGGCATACAGGGGCTGGCATCAAGTGAACAGGCAAGAAGAGTTACTGACTGGAGGAGGGACAGGAGGTGGGAGATGGTAGAGCTGAAGGATCATCAGCAACAGGACACGGAAGGCAAGCTGCAAGTTCACTCATGCCTAACATGGATGGCACAGGTTCTGGTTCCTTGTTGGAACCAGATGCACATTCGCAGCTTTCAAAGTTCACAACCTGAAGGTTCATATGTAGGGGACTTACTGTATAATCATTAAGAGAAGCACCCTCCAAACATTTTAAAACTATTTTTGTTCTTCCCTCCACAGAGAGCAATTTTTTAATTTTACAAAATATCTCAAGAAAGGACATATGATTTTAAAAAACTAAACAGTTTAAGTTAGAGTGAATGACTTAAATGATGAAACTGTACAGCCAAAAGCAAAAATGCACACACACACACAAACACACACACACACACACACACCACTTAAAATGAGGTTCATATTCCAGGTTGCAATGAAAATGTGAATATCAGAAAATTTTTCTCAAACCTTTTTTCAAAAGTTTTACGAAATCCATCACATCAGCAGGTTAAAAAAGAATAATCACACAATCGTATCAACAGATGAAAAAAAGTATTTGGCCAAATCCAATACCTATTCAAGATAAAAACTCTCGGTAAACTAGAATAGAAGCAGATTTTCTCAACTTGGTAAAGACTATGTATAAAAAACCTACAGCTAGGGAATTCCCTGGCGGTCCAATGGTTAGGACTCCGCGCTTTCAATGCCAGGGGGCAGGGTTCAATCCCTGGTCGGGGAACTAAGATCCCACAAGCCACGCAGCGTGGCCAAAGAAAAAAACAAACAAACAAAAAATAAATCAACCTACAGCTAAAATCATACTTGATGATTTTCAAAAAATTCAAAGCTTTCCCACTAAGATCAGACACAATACATATCCCCTCTCACTACTCCTTTTCAACATCATACTGAATGCTCTTGGCAATTAAGTAAGGCAAGAAAAGAAAAGGTATACAGACTGCGAAGGAAGACAAAACTGTCACTGTTTGCAGATAGCATGATCATCTATGTAGAAAATCCAAAAGAATCAACAAAAAAAAGTCCTAGAACTAACAGGCAATTATAGAAAGGTTGCAGGATACACGGCTAAAACACAAAATTCAATGGTGTTCCTATATACCAACAATTAACAAGTGGAACTTGAAATTAAAAACACAATACCATTTACATTAGTAACCCCCCAAATTAAATACAGTTGCCCCTTCAACAACATGGGGGTTAGTGGTGCCAGCTACCCCAAGCAGTCAAAAATCTGCATATATCTTTACAGTCAGACCACTGTATCCGTGGTTCCACATCTGCAAATTCAATCAACAACAGATCACCTGGTACTGTAGTACATATTTATTGAAAAAAGACTTATAAATGGACCTGCCCAGTTCAAACCTGTGTTGTTCAATTGCACTTAGGTACAAAACTAACAATGTAAATGTAAGATATGAGGAAAACTACAAAACTCTGATGAACAGCATCAAAGAAGAACTGAATAAATGGAGAGATATTCCATGTTCAAGGATTAGAAGACATAATGTTGTCAAGATGTCAGTTCTTTTCAACTTAACCAACAGATTCAATACACTCTCAATCAAAATTCTAGCCAGTTACTTTATGGATATCAACAAACTGATTCCAAAGTTTACGTGGAGAGGAATAAGCCCCAGGATAGCCAACTCAATATAAAAGAAGAATAAAGTTAGAAGACTGACACTGTCTGACTTCAAGACTTACTTATAGTAAAGTTATAATAACCAAGATAGTGTGGTGCTGGCAAAAGAACAGACAGATAGATCAATGGAACATAACAGAGAGCCCAGAAAGAGACCCTCATAAATACAGTCAACTGATCTTTGACAAAGGAGCAAAGGCAATACAATGGAGCAAAGACAGTCTCTTCAACAAATGTTACTGGAACAACTGGACATCCACAAGCAAAAAAATGAATTTAGACACAGACCTGACACTCAACACAAAAATTAACTCAAAACAGATCATGGACCTAGATGTAAAACACAAAACTATAAAACTCCTAGAAGATAACAAAGGAAAAAACCTAAATGTCCACGCATATGGTGATGCCTTTTTAGATACAACACCAAAGACATAATCTATGAAAGAAATCATTGATAAGCTGGACTTCGTTACAATTAAAAAGTTCTTCTCTGCAAAAGACAACATCAAGAAAATTGAAAGACAAACCACACACTGAGGAAAAATATTTTCAAAAAACACATCTGATAAAGGACTCTTAAATATACAAAGAACTCTTAAAACTCAACAATAAGAAAACAAACAACCTGATTTAAAAAATAAGGCTTCCGGGAGCAGGCTCTGGGGAAGGGGTGGCAGGCACCATGTTGGGCCCTGAAGGTGGTGAGGAGAAGCCCCTGAAGCACGCCAAGAAGCAAGCCAAGGAGATAGACAAGGAAGATAAGGCATTCAAGCAGAAACAGAAGGAGGAGCAGAAGAAACTCAAGGAGCTAAAAGCGAAGGCCACAGGGAAAGGCCCCCCCTGGCCACAGGTGTTATTAAAAAATCTGGCAAAAAGTAAGCTGTTCCTTGTGTTTGAGGCAATGATGATCCTAATTCCATTCCTGTTTAAACATCTGGACTCCCTGCCATAGTATCTGTTGCCACTTATAGCTAGAATGAAGTGTTGTCTTGGAACCCATTGTACATTTAAGAATAAACTTTTGTTAAAAAAAAATCATACAGTGGCTCATCTTGTCTTTAGTTCTTCTCAGCCATTTCTACCTTAGCTATGAGACCTGCATAAACCCAGCCCAGAAGCCTGCCAAAATGTGTTCTTAAGTCTTGGTTCTATCCTGAATTCTGTACCACCTGTAATTAAAACAACTCATTTGAAAAAAATAAATAAATAAGCCAAAGACCTTAACAGACAAATCTCACCAAAGAAGATACACAGATGGCAAACAAGCATATGAAAAAACACTCCACAACATCTGCCATCAAGAAAATGCAAAATAAAACAATGAGATATGACTACACACCAATTACAATGGCCAAAATCTGGAAAACTGACAATACCAAATGCTGACAGGGATGTGGAACAACAGGAACTCTCATACATTGCTGGTAAGAATGCAAAATGGTACAGCCACTTTGGAAGACAGTTTGGTGGTTTCTTACAAAATTACACATACTTTTACCATATGATACAGCAATCGCACTCCTTGGTATTTACACAAAAGAGTTCTCTATACAATATCCTGCACACGGATGTTTACAGCAGCTTTACTCATAACCGCCAACACTTGTTAGCAACCAAGATGTTCTTCATCAGAGGAATGAATAAATGTACATCCAGACAACAGAATATTATTAGTGCTAAAAAGAAATATGCTATCAAGCTATGAAAAGACATGAGAAACCTTAAATACATATTGCTAATTGAAAGAAAATCTAAGAAGGCTACATACTGTATGATTCCAACTATATGACTTTCTGGAAAGGTAAAACTATGGTGACAATTAAAAAGATCAGTGGGGGGCTTCCCTGGTGGCACAGTGGTTGAGAGTCCGCCTGCCAACGCAGGGGACACGGGTTCGTGCCTCAGTC